CTCAGCCTATGAATAAAGTAATCCATGATACGTGGATAAACATTCAAAGCTGGCTTTACATCCAGCTTTGTCACTGAACATGTCATCTAGCTACTACTACACAGGATGTGATTGATAAGTCAGGGATTCACAGTGTCCCAAAAGGTCATCTCACTGGACTACAGGAAAGACTTTGAAGAAGTCATTTTATACATCAGATCCTATCCCAGGGAGGTCATCATTTCTAAGTGTGACTCAGGCACTGCTACCCACAGCCCTATCCTAAAACCAGCAAAGCATTTGCTAAGGTGCTCTTCTCCTGGGGTCATAGCCAGAATCCTAGAGGGGTTTTCAGCAGTGGTTGGCAAACTACTACTCAATGGCCAAATCTGGCCCACTGCTTGTTTTTGTATAACGGGAGCTAAGAATGATATGTACATATTTTAATAGTTGAAAAAAATAAAATGAAGAATAATGTTTCATGATATGTGAAAATTATATGAAATTCAAATTTCAGTGTCTGTAAATAAAATTGCTTTGAAACACAGCCACACCCATTCATTTGTGCATTGTCTATGTATGCTTGCATGCTACAATGGCAGAATTGCGTAGTTGCTACAGAGACTATATGGCGCACAAAGCCTATTATATTTACCAACTGGCCCTTTACAAAGTTTGCTGTCCCCTAGTGTAGAGCACAGACTCCAGGGCCATGTGGCCTGGAAGCCAAGCTCAGCTCTGTGTTCATCCCACTTAGGAAAATTCTCTCATCTCCTCTGTTTCCTCAACTGTATAATGAGGATGATATAACCATTTACCTTATGGGATTCTATGAGGTTTAAGTGAATATATAAAGTGTTTAGAAGAGGGTCTGTCACATATTAAGTACTGTATGTATCTGTTGTTATTAGTTGCCACAATTTTTTTCATAAACTAAAACAGCAGCAACTTAACAATTTGTTAACAATAATTGTAAGAATTTCATTTGTAGCACTCCATTAAATTTAATTCTTTAGCAGTGGGGTAGTGGGAAGATGTCTGAAGACAACTGAAAACACAATTAGCATAGTTGCTTATCCATAAAGTTCATTCTGCACACTCACAAATATTTCATACACTGTATGATCTTTCAAACTTGAGTCTTGAAAGAGCGTACACTCAACTTTGAGTTCAGTCCTCTCCATCTATTCTTTATTCTTGGTTACTTCTATAGAAATGGACTTCAAAGCAGAGGTCAAGTAACAGAAGAGAGAGCCCCAAAATAAATCCGTGCATATACAATTAACTGATCTTCCACAAGAATGTCAAAAATACACCATTGAGAAAGGATGGTCTCCTCCACAAATGGTGTTGGGAAAACCAGATACCAATACACAAAAGAATAAAAAAACTGGAATCTTATCTTACACTATACACAAAAATCAACTCAAAATGGATTAAAGACAATATAAGACCAAAAACTATAAAACTCCTAAAAGAAAATATAGGGGAAAAATTCCATGACATTGGAGGCTATCTTAAAACCAGCTCTATCTTAAAACCAGCAAAGCATTTGCTACGGTGCTATTCTCCCAGAGTCATAGCCAGAAGACAATGCCAAGGCAATGATTTCATAGCTATGACAACAAAAGCATAGGCAACAAAAACATAAATAGACAAGTGGGACTATATCATACTAAAAACCTTCTGCACAACAAAGGAAACAACAGAATGAAAAGGCAAACCATGGAATGGGATAAAAATGTGCAAACCACATACCTGATAATGAGTTAGTTTTCAAAATATATAAGGAATTTTTACAACAGCAAAAAACTAATAACCCACTTTGATAATGGGCTAAAGAAGCCAACAGAAACATGAAAAGGTGTTCAACATTAATGGTCATCAGGAAAATGCAAATCAAAACCACAATGAGATATCACCTCACACCTGTCAGAATGGCTAAAATCAAAAACATAAGAAACAATAGGTGCTGGTAAGGATGTGGAGAAAAAGGAACCCTCTTACCCTGTTGGTGGGAATACAAACTGGTGCAGCCACTGTGGAAAATAGTATGCAGGTCGCTCAAAAAATTAAAAATAGAGCTACCTAATGAGCCAATAACTCCACTACTGGATACTTACCCAAAGAATATGAAAGCACTAATTTAAAAAGATATTTGCACCCCTGTGTTTATTACAGCATTATTTACAACAGCCAAATTATGGAAGCAACACAAGTGTCCACAAGAAGGACAAATGGATAAAGAAGATGTAGTATATATATACAATGGGATATTACTTAACCTTAAAAGAGAATGAAATCTGGCCATTTGGAACAACACGGATGGAGGTAGGAAGTATTACACTAAGTGAAATAAGTCAGAGAAAGACAAATACCGTATGATTTTTTATATGTGGAATTTAAGAAACAAAACAAATGAACAAAGGAAAAAAGACACAAACCAAAAAACAGATCCTTAACTATAGAGAACAAGTTGGGAGATGGGTGGGGGATGGGCGAAGTAGGTGAAGAGGATTAGGAGTACACTTATCATTATTAGCACTGAGTATAGAACTGCTGAATCACTATATTGTACATCTGAAGCTAATATAACTAATATAAACTAATTTAAGTATACTGGATTTAAAATTTTTAAAAATTTTTAATGGGCTAAATAATTAAATATTTCTCCAAGGAAAGTATACAAGTACATGAAAAAGTGCTCAATGCTACTAATTATCAGGGAAATACCACACTGAGCTATCACTTCACACCTCCACTATTAGGAACCCCCACCTGGCCAGACAATAAGTGTTGGTAAGTATGTGAAATAATTGGAATTCTTGCATATTGTTGATGGGAATGCAAAATGGTATATCCACTATGTAAAACGGTATTGAGGTTCCTCAATTAAACTAAATTTAAATTTAAAATAAAACTACCATATGATCCAGGGGTGCCTGGGTGACTAAATCAATTGAGTGTCTGACTTCCCATCGTTTCGGCCATGATCTCATGGTTTGCGGGTTCAAGCCCCACTTTGGGCTCTGTGCTGACAGCTCAAAGCTTGGAGCCTTCTTTGGATTCTGTGTCTCCCTGTTTCTCTGCCCTTCCCGTGCTAGTGTTCTCTCTCTGTCTCTCAAAAATAAATAAACATTAATTTTTTTTTTAAAAAAAGAAAAGAGGATTTCAAAGAGCTATTTACACAGCCATGTTCATCGCAGAATTATTTGCAATAACCAAGATGCAGAAGCAACCCAAATGTCCATCTATGGATGAATGAATTTAAAATGTGGCATATACATGTAATACAATTTTATCCAGACTTAAAAAGAAGGAAATCGTGTCATATGCTACAACATGGATAAATTTCAAGGACGTTATGCTAGGTGAAATAAGCCAATCACAAAAAGACAAATACTTCATTATTGTAATTATTGAGGTATCTGAGGTAATCAATCTCATAGAAACAAACAATGCTGGTTTTGAGGGGCTGGAAGAAGGAGCAAATGGGGAGTAGATGTTAATAGGTACAGATTTTCAGTCACACAGGATAAAAAGTCCTGGAGAACTGCTGTATAACACTGTGCATATTGTTAACAACACTGTATTGTACACTTAAACATTTGTTAAGAGGGTAGATCTCCTGTTCATTGTTCTTACCACACAAAAGGAAAAAAATAAGAAAAAAGAAAACTCCGCAGAGGCCAAGGACTCAAAAATTGCCTAATCTACCTCGATAATAGCTTTGGAATTTGAAAACAGTAATCTACTTCCTAAATCAAACATTAAACAGGTAATATATAGTTAATTTGATAGGTAACAACAGGGACTATTAAAGTTGTTCTCACAACTCAGGACTTACCATCTTTGGAGTTTGAGCAGCCAAAAAGAGGACTTGGAAGAGAGTTATACATTAGAAGAAAACAATGACCCTAGTGGGAACACAGCCCGGAAACTTGGAATGGAGGAACCCTGTCCACCATGGTGAACAGCAGGTCACCACACTCAACAGGTGCTCCAACATTTGTTAAATGTTTATGACTCAATTTTTCAGTGCAGCCTCCGTAGCAAATAATGTGAATGTTGCTCATCAGTGCATTTCTTAAAACGTTCAAATTCAGAAAAACATTCATGACTGAAATTACATGAAACCAAACCAAAAAAAAAAAAAAAAATGTCACACCTGAATTGCTCACATCAGACTGTTCAACGAGGGTGAAAAGAAAAATGCATGAAGAGAACCATTTCCTGAATCTGCCTAAAAGAATAGTTCTAACCTTTCACCTTCCTGAATATTTACCAGGGCACTCTTAGCTTGCCCTAAACTTTTCTTGTATACAAAGTGGCTGAGTAATTTTAGAGAAGGGGGAATTGTTTCGCCTGAATCATCGAGATAATTCAAACAACTCATTTTCTAAGAACCTGGGCGGGGTTGCCTTGCCAGTCAATGCCCTCCATCCTTCCCAGGCCATATGACACCCAGCTTAACCAAGAGTTGACCGCGTCCCCTAGCAAGAAAACAGGCCGGTGTTCAGTGAAATGTGCAACCGCAAACCAAAGGCTCGCTTGCACACAGTTCCTGAAGTTTATTCCTGTTTTCCAAGGGCGTTTTCTTATTTTGATTTTCCAACGTCTCCTTCCCTCACAGGCATCTAAGAGCTGTCCTAATGCATCCAGCTCCTTCCCTGCAAAACTACACTCCGCTTAGAGCCGGGCGGCCCAGACTAACGAAGTTGGTTAAAATGTTCAAAAGTATCAGAATATAGCCGAGTTAGGAAGAAATAACCCCCGAGGCACCGTACTGGTGTTGGAATGTGCCATTCGTTTCGCAGGGAGGAATGCCACCGGCGTGAACTGCGTCGCAAGTCCCAGGCACTTGCGGGAACCTGGCTTGGGCGCGACCCCGGCACAGGAAGCGCGGAGCCACGCGGTGCGCGCGCAGAGGGCTGAGGCGGGAGCTGAGCGCCGAGCGGGAGGGGGCTCCGGCGCGCGTCCCCCGCTGCCCGCATGGTGCGTTCCGGGGCGGCCCCGGCGGGAGGGTGAGGGCGGTGGCGGTGGCGGCGGCGCAGTCTGCACCATGGCGTACCCCGGGCACCCTGGCGCCGGCGGCGGGTACTACCCAGGCGGGGTAAGTGCAGCCCGCGCGGCTGGTGGCCCGGGCGCAACCCTGGGACACCGCGGACGCCGAGAGGCTACGCTGGACAACTCCGCGGGGCGGATCCGCGGGAGCCTCCCGCCCCTACCCCGGGCTTCTCCCTGCCCGCTGCCTCGCCCCAGGCCGCTGCCTTTTGGCCTCATCCTGGGGCTCCCTCCTTTTCCGCGTCCCTTCGCCCTGCGGGTGGCTGCGTGGGGCCGAGGCGCGGGTGGGCTTTGATCCAAGAAGCCCACCCTGTGACTTCGGGACACGCGGCGTGAAATTGTGCAAATTCGCTTCCTTCCCCTCCGGGTTTCCCCTGAGAGCAACAGCCATTTTAATCTCGAATGGCCCGGGGATCCACCTTCCATCTTTAAAAGAAAGTAGGATTAAAAGAGAAGTTGGGGAAAGAAAGGCCGCTAGAGTAAAAGCCTTCCGGGAGGAAGGCCGCCTCGCTGGGTGCCTGGGATGTGCGTCGTCGTGGGAACTGTTTCTGAATGTTCCTTCGCCGCGCCTCCTCGCCCAGGTGCTCGCCGCCAAATAGCCTAACCGAGACACCTAAGCACGGCCTAGGCTACACCTGTCTCAAAATGCTTCAAAACACCATAATCGTTGTAAAAGGAAAAGGAAGACAATTCCGAGCTCTGCCCTTAAGTTGCTTGCCTAGGCTGCATTTAATCAGTAACCTGCAGGTTAATTGGGATTTTGAAAGTTGCTTCGCTCATGCAGATGTCACTATTCGGGACATCTCATTTTGGTCCAGGCTGCCAGTTTTTACACTGTGATGGAGCGGGAATGAAAGAAAAGGGGTGGGATGATTGCAGTTAGAGCGTGCTGGTGGTGGGGAGGTGAACCATGGATGTGAAGGGCCGGCGTTTGCCTAGCTTTGCACAAAGGCATTCAGTGGTGAAAGAATAACACTGGATTCAGTGGGATGATGCTTTTGTGTTTGTTGTTTTACAGTATGGAGGGGCTCCCGGAGGGCCTACGTTTCCCGGACAAACTCAGGATCCACTGTATGGTTACTTTGCTGCTGTAGCAGGACAGGTTAGCTTTTTCCGTTAATATTAAAGAATCGTCAGAGTCTTCATTTGTATTAGCTGTTGTTAGAGTGGCATGGAAAAAAGAACTCTCCTCTGGAAAAGAATCCCTTTGCTTGTGGAAAGAAAAGAAGAGAGAAAGAATGAAGTTTATAGTCAGTTACTTATTTCTGCATATTCAGAACAAATTAGGACAAAGTGTTACCTGTATTTATGTTAGTTCACTTCAAGACTAAATTTGTGATTGAATTAATGCCAGAATGAACAAAATAAAGGGCAATAAATGTACTGTGAGGATCTGTAAAGTAGAAAGATGTTTTTAGAACAATGAATTGTCAGGGTCCATGGTGGTTTACAGAGAATAAATTCCAGATCTGGTGAACACAAACCCTTGTTAGTACGGTTTACAGACATGTGCCAGTAATCATGTAGTCAGATTCTAATGGACGCTTTCTTTGGATTGAATTTGTTAATCAATTACCCCCTGAGGAAATAGGTACTTATGTTAAAAACTTACCAGCTTCAACATGAGAAAGTTACTTACTATTCCCTTACTATCAGGAAGTGAATCTTGTGCACAGTTTACTTTCTCTTTGATGCTGATGCTGTTACTAGGTCAGCTCTTCCATGTCCGTATAAGGTGTTGTGGCTTGTTGACCCAGAGAGAGAATTAAGTGGGCTCCTGGAGACCTTTGACTTGTCTATATTGTGTGGTAGGACAGGCGGTGGTGTACATTGAGGAAGGACACTTCCCTAGCTCACCACGCCACTGTGTATGGTAAATTCACTGCTGGTAGAACCCAGTCCTCTCCAGAAGGGATGTTTGCTCTTTTGTCTTGGCATTTACCTTTGTTTTGATCAAAAGCAAGAAACAGCACAGTCTTAATGTGAAGAAGCTGTAGAAAATTGTGGGATAAAAATTCAAGACCGCCTTGCAGAAAAGCATTCTAAGAACTATAGCTCAAGAAATTGAATGGAAAATTGAGTCCAAAACCGAAAGAGCTTCCCTTTAAGTATCTGCTTAATCAGTTAATGATCTGTATCTCTGAAACCACAAGACAGGGCAAAGCTCAAGACTTGTGTTCTTAGATTGCCTGTGCCTCCAGCCCTGTAAGTGACCCCACCTGCTTCTCTTGCAGCAGCCTGGGCCTACCCCTACATCAGCATAGCCATTGTCTTTCAAATTATTGATCCTGCTCTGCACTTAGAAGTTACAATCCTCATGGACGTGAGGGATTTAGGTATTTTATTTTTAAATCCCTAAAAACAACATATATCTAGTTGTGAACTTGGTTAGCCAATAAATAGGCACTGGGAACCTGTATCTTCCAGATATAATTGTAGTTCTGAAAAAAACCATTCACCTCATCATAAACCAAGGTGATCACAAAGGCCTCTGTTTTATCCAGACTTTTTATTCATGGCTGTTACATTTGTATGCTGCTATGCCTTTACCACCCCCGCCCCCCACAAAAAAATAGCTAGAAAGAGGAATAAGACTTTAAAGCAACTATATAAATAATTTTAAATGCTTAAATGGCAGTTTCCTAGCTCAGACTAAAAGAAGAGTAGTTCAAGACAGAAACTAATTTCATTCACACATTAAAAAAAAACTTGTGTATCAGAAGAAGAAACTGAATTTACCTCAGTGTTTCATTAAAAAGACCAACCTTCCGCTTGAAAATTTAATCCCAAATCTAATTGAGGAACTTAGAGGAATGATGAGAAGATAATGTTAATACTAAAGTAGAGGTGTAAGCAGCTTTCCAACCTTGTGAATTCGTATGTAATAATTATTTAAAATAGAGTCTGAAATTGAATGCCCACTTAAGTATCACGAAATGTATTTTGTTTGTTTGTTTATGGCCCTAAGTATGCATTTGTGGAAGAGGACTTAACTATTTGTTTCTCTTTCATTATTATTTTTGAAAGTAGAATTGGGAAAGGAATGCCTATGTTTGGAAGGCATTCTTTTTTCCAAAAAAAAAAAAGGTCTTACGCATGAAAATGCTCATTTTCTTTGTCATTGCTAAAATAATATACGAAAGTAAACAAAGAACTTGAAGGTACAAATCATTATTGTAATTTGTCTTCCTATTTTTTTTTTTTTTTTTCAAAAGGATGGGCAGATAGATGCTGATGAATTGCAGAGATGTCTGACACAGTCAGGCATTGCTGGAGGATACAAACGTAAGTTGACAATCCCACAGTACTCTTCTGTTTCGTATTTTAACTTCCTTATGATTATAGCCTCCAAGGAAATTGGGCTTTTCTGATCCAGCATAATTTAGAATTTCAAAAGCTAATTTTGGTTGTTTATTATCACAAAATGTGAATTTGAAAACAGCTGTTAATAAATCATTCTACACTACCTGCCCGTTTAGCGGGTCCATTGGATTTGGAACCTTTGGAAGCAATGAGATGGGCAGCGTGGTCTCCTTCACAGAGGACGAGGTGAGGTGCTGAAATGAAATCTGCTAGGTCAGGTGTCATTAATGGCAGGAGCTAACATTTACAACTGACCATTTGCCAAGAGTTGACTGTCCTGAGGCTGATGGCACTTAGGACTTTGAGTGCCTGGTCCTGTGCAGCTGCTCCCCAAATGGCCTGTCCTGCGCTCCTAGTTCTGAGTGGTCATTCCTGTCCCGCGTTCCCTGCAGTGGCTGGTCCCCACCCCTGGTCCTCAGGAAAGCGGTTCTGCATTCATGGGCTCTGAGCATGCTGCTGGCAACATGAGCGCTTGCCATGACATCCCCCAGGTCTTTCTTCATTTTTTTCTGCTTCAGAGAATGTGGGCAGGCTATGTTGGAAGTGCCCTTCCTAATTTCTTAACTCTTTGCACTAGTCTTCCTTCTGCCCTCGTCCTCAGTTCTGCCACCTTATAATTCAGTGCTTACACCACCTTCCTGCCTTTTGAAAGAGCTCTTTGCCACGAGCTACAGATGGGGAATGATTGCAGAAGTACTGCATCTTATCAGTGCCTCTCATCATCCCATGTACATCCTACTTGCTTCTTTTCCAATCGGATCCTGACCCTGACAGATCCATAAGGTAGAAAGTAGTGTCTTGACTTGCTAACTTCTTTGCCTGTTGTTAATGGGGACAAAACATCAAATCAGAGCCTTAGCTGTTGGTAAATTGTGAATTAAAATACTCAAACTACAGGGGTGCCTGAGTGGCTCAGTTGGCTAAACGTCTGACTCTTGGTTTTGGCTCAGGTCATGATCTGTTGGTTTGTGAGTTCAAGCCCTGCGTCAGGTTCTATGCTGACAGTGCAGAGCCTGCTTGGAATTCTCTCTCTTTGCCCCTACTGCGTGATCTGTCTCTCTCAAAATAAATAAATAAACTTTAAAAATAAAATGCTCGAGCTAGAAGTCACACATGAAGATTTATAGTCGCATTTTCTTTGACTGTTTGACATGGCATATTTACTAGATGGCTCTCTTCTTAAACTATTTGCATTTCTATTTTTATCCTTTGTATTATATGACTTAAGTATCCTATTAACAATATTTCCTAGTTGGAGGAATTAATATGAAAGAGGAACCGTTTGCATTTCTCATTTAATCTGGTCCTAAACAAAAGAAGCACTTTCTAGATTTGGGAATTTTTTTTTTTTTTAAGTGTTGTAGGGAATACATTTAAAGTGTTAAATGTTAACCTCAAGCAGTTGGGGCTAGTGAACATAGCAGGTTTAATAGGGTTTATGAAAGTGAGCTGTGTAGCAACATAAACTATTACTCTGTACCCTTTCGGTAGAAGAGGTGTGGCAGGTTTTAAAATCTGACTAACAAATGGGCTGTGTATCCTGGGAGAACAGTCCTTTTAAAAATTTCATATGAGGAGGCGCCTGGGTGGCTCGTCAGTTAAGCGTCCGACTCTTGGTTTCAGCTCAGGTCATGGTCTCATGGTTCGTGGGTTTGAGCCGTGCATAGTTTCTGTGCTGATAGTGCAGAGCCTGCTTGGAATTCTCTCTCCCTCTCTCTGCCCCTCCCCTGTTCATGTTCTCACTCTCTCTCAAAATAAATAAACTTAAAAAAAATTTTTTTTTAATTTCGTGTGAGAAAATCATGTTTAGTGATGGCCTTAGAGCAGTGAGTTATAGGGAAGACATTTCCTGAGTCATCAGAGCCATGTGATTGAATTAATTTGCTTACCATCCTCTGGTTGTGGAGGCTGTAATAAATCACAAAACCATCCTGCTTGTGAAGTGTCACAGTGAGTTTCATGATACAGAAATTATACAGCCATTGGTGTTTTTTAAACCCAGCTTCCAAACCAAAAAGTACAGGTGGAGGTGGAATGAGGAACAGAGAGTATTCCAGCCTAGTTCCTACAGTCATCTTCTCCAGCTTAAAAGGAACCGGTCATACTCAGAAGTGGAGTTGATAAGAGACGTTGCTCTAGTCTGTAAGATAGTAATTCAGCTTCTTTTTTTCCCCCTTGAGTGTAGCTGTTACTCTATGGTAAGGCTGAGAGAAACAACTGAAGATAATGTTTTCCTGCTAGGTCCATTACATTTTGGATTTCTACTAGAAGAAAAGATGTATGAGGCATTTTAGTAGAATGAACAGGAGAAGGGAGAGAGTAAAAATAAAATGATCAAAGACTCTTGAAGCTATTTAAAATAGAATAGCACTAGTAAAAGCTATTTCTTGGGACACCTAGGTGGCTCAGTAGGTTAAGCATCCAACCCTTGGTTTCGGCTCAGGTCATGATCTCACAGTTCGTGAGTTTGAGCCCCATGTAGGGCTCTGCACTTAACAGCACAGAGCCTGCTTCGGATTCCCTTGTCTCCCTCTTTCTTTGCCTCTCCCCTGCTCACACGTGCTGGGTGTGCACGTGTGCTCTCAAAGTAAATTTTAATAAATAAAAGCAAACTATTTCTGGAGAAAAATAAAATTAAAATTGAGCAAGAGTTTTCCCTACCCAAACTTCTGTGACATCAGTGTTCTAGTTCCATTAGAACTGTCTGGAATAGTGAATTTTCTGTCATTCACTTTTGTTGCCTGCCCATCACGTTCCCTCTTTTAAACCCTTCTCACAAAAGATGACCAGATTTTTGGGCTTCCTGACACATCCTCTAACCTGTTAGTTTCTTCTTCTAAAATTCTTTGGTAGCTCCTTGGTACCTGTAAAACAAAACCTAAACACCTTAGTAGGAATTCAAGATCTTCTAATGTAGCCTCATCAAACATACTTCCTCCCACTTACTTTGCTTGGCCTGCACTTTCCTGATTCACTTTGCTTATACTGGTCCATAGCTCTACTTAACTGTCCCCAAATGTCCCTCATCTTTCCTGTCATTCAAGGCTTGACTTAAATGCTGCTGCTTCTGTGAAGTGCTTCTTAGTAGGAAGGAGCCTCCTGCTCCTCAGTACTTCCTGGTACTGCTTACTGTCTCCATTATGGTTCACCACTCTCTACCTTGATTAAAGTTGCATGCATGCATGACTTCTCTTTTCCTTAGACTGTCAGCTAGGGCAGGATCCAGTTTTAATTTGTATCTCCAATGTTCTTGGTATCCTGGGCCCTGTACATAATGAGTACTTAACAGGCATTTGTTGAATTAATGAGTATGTAAGATTTCCTAAAATGGAGAAAGCATAGCTCTGTACCCTTATTGGTATTTTGACTTATGATTTGTCTTAAGGGATTATACAGTCCTTTTAAGTATCCATAAAAATGAGATTTTATTTTTAAAAACCTATCCTGCGTATACTGGTTGAGGGGAGTGTATAGCTGTCTACACAGGGATGAGGGGTCCTATCTATTCAGCTGTCTAACCAACACATTTTAATGGATATCATCATGTGCAAGGTGCCAGGCTGTGCACCCACAAGTGGTGCCTGTGGGACACAGTGAAAAGTGCTGGGATAAGTGAAGTAGAGAGGCTGTGAGCCCACATAGGAGAGGCACATAACCCAGAAAGTGGTCAGGATAGTTTTCCTGGCAGAACTGATGCCAAACTGAGGAGAAATGAAAGTCAAGCAGAAACCAGGCAGACCAAGAAGTGAGAGGGATAAAGGGCAGTTGTGCCCCAGGCAGATAGAACAGCATGTACTAAAGACCCACAGGTAAGGGGAAACATGTGCATGTGCAGTCAAAGAACTGGGAGAAATTGGCCGTGAAGATGGAATGTGAAGGTTGAATAAAGAGCAGGAAATTAGCTGGACTGGGAATATATGCATATGACTTCATATGCCACTTAGGTGCTTGGACTTCATCCTGACAGCAGTGGAACATGTCTACTGGGTTTTGTATAGAAGAGCACATACTGTTCTGGATGTAGCATAAAAACCAAATTGGGGGGCATGGGTATGGGGGGTGTGGAGCACGGGGACTCAGGGACACCTGTCAGGTGGCCATTGGAGTCATCAGATGAGTAAAATACTTCCTAAACCAGGGAAGTGATTGTGGAACTGGAAATGGATAGGTCCTAAAGCAATTTAGAAGGCGATTGAGGGGCACCTGGGTGATTCAGTCGGTTGAGCGTCCGACTTCAGCTCAGGTCATGATCTCGCAGTTTGTGAGTTTCATCCCCACATCATGCTCTGTGCTGACAGCTCAGAACCTGCTTCAGATTCTGTGCCTCCCTCTCTCTCTCTGCCTCTTCCCAGCTTGTGCTCTGTCTCTCTCTCTCAAAAATAAACATTAAAAAAAGAAGAAGAAGAAGGTGATTGAATATCAGGGGACAGGGAACTGGGGACACTCCCTGGTTTCTGGCTTGGGTGACTGAGTGGATGATGTTACTTGTAGCACTTGGGACACAGGGAAGCTGTCTGCCTTACAGCCCCTCAAAATCCTTGACTTAAAGTCAGACACAAGTGGATCTGCCTCTTGGTTGACAGGCCCTCTAGAGCACTGGTTCCTAAACTTGAGCTGTGTCAGCATCACTGGATTGCTGGGCCCTGTCCTAGAATTTTTCATTTAGAAGTCTGAGGTAAGACCAGAGAATTTGCATCTGTAACAAGCTTCCAGAAGATTCAGGTGGTCCAGGTCCACCAGCTGTTTTTATGTGAAAATAAATCACCTGGGGATCTTATTTAAATGCAGATTCTGATTTTTTTGGTGTAGGTTAAAGGCCAAGATTCTGTAATTCTAAAAGGTCCCAGATGATGTTAACATGGCTGGTCCAGGAATCACACGTTGAGAAGAACAGTGGTCTCAACCTTGGCTGCTCACTGGAATCATTGAGAAGCTTTAAAAAAAAAACAGTCATGCCTTGGTTCCATGCTCAGGGATTCTCATTTAATTGCTCTGTGGTGATGGTGACAATACTGTATTGTATACTAGAAAATAGCTAAGAGAGTTGATCTTAAAAGTTCTCATCACACAGACAAAAAAGTTAACTATGTGAGGTGATGGATGTGTTAAATAACCTAATTATGGTTATCATTCTGCAGTATGTCCATATATGAGATCATTACATTATACACCTTAAACTTACAGAATGTTATTTGTTAATTATATCTCCGTAACACTGAGGGGAAAATAACTGTTCTGTGGTGCAGCCCCAGTATTAGGATCTTTTAAAGCTTTTGGGTGATTCTGATAAGCACCTGGGATTGAAAACCATTGGTCTAGATCAGAGAGACTTCGTGCCTCCACACAACTTAAAAGTCAGAATGAAGAATCAACCAACTCTTTCTCAAAAGTGTGTAGAAGTGTTGCTTCCTGTCACCTCAGAGACCTGTATCTGTGGATTAGATGGAGTTTGAAGGGCCAAAACAGAGATAGTCCTCCACCTTTTATTTCATGTTCCCGAGTATGCCAAACACAGGAATCTGTTAAAAGTGGACAATTTATAGTTTATACTGTTTGGAAACACTACAGTACTGAGAGTTAGCTCAGATGTATTTGAAATTCAGTTTGTTGGAGATAAAAATGAAGCTAGTAAGAGCTGTAAAAATGTTAGTTCTGTGTGCCTCTCAACAAACTTGCAGAATTTATGCCAGCTTTGCCCACCTGACCTTTGTCCCTTCTGCCTTCTAGCCTTCTAGCTTCTTTGTACCTATATATTTCCCCAGTCATTGATTCTCATGAACAGAATGGAAGATGCAAGGAATTTTTTCTTTATATTTGCTAATGCTTAGGTAGGTCATCAGTAGGCCCATTAACTAGTAAATATATTCTAGTGTATTTTTCTAAGTGTCGTATAGAAATGTCCTCAGAATATATTCAAGCTGTACAAAAACTCAAAAGGCTTCCGAATCGTGGTCATCACTGAATTGGTCATTATATCGTATTCCAGAGTGCTCTTACTTAACACTGTTCTAGCAAGCATATTTATCTGGTTTCGTATATAAACTTACTGTATATAAAAAGGTGTCATAAGCTATATGAGGTAGGAGGTAGTTCAGTGTGTGACATTAAAGGGGAAAGAAAGGTAAACAAATGAACTAGTGACACAGAACAAACAAAACCAGCAATTGATAGTCAGGAGTAGAAATGTAGTAACCCTATCTTCCCACTCACCATGGTGAATATAATAAATTATGGTTCATTATGGTGAATTAAACTCACTATATTACAGTTTCAAAAGCAAAAAAGTATATAAAACTTTTTTAAAAAGACTATATTAGCGGCACCTGAGTGGCTCAATTGGCTAAGTGTCCGACTTAGGCTCAAGTCATGATCTCACAGTTCGTGGGGTCGAGCCCCGTTTTAGGCTCTGTGCTGATAGCTCAGAGCCTGGAGCGTGTTTCAGATTCTGTGTCTTCCTCTCTCTGTCCTTCCCCCGCTCGTGCTCTGGCTCTCTCTGTCTCTCAAAAAAAAATAAATGGTAAAAAAAATTTATTTTAAGACTGTATTATAGAAAATGTATGCCTATCTAAAAACAGAGATAATTATTACGAACTTCCATGCACCTGTCACCCAGCTTCAACAATTACCAGTGTGTTGTTATTCTTAGTTCATGTGTAATCCTGTCTGTTTTCTTTTGAAGCTCATTCCAGATATCTTAACATTCATTTCATCTACAAATAACTTCAGTATATACTTTTCTAAAAGATAAGGACATTTCCCTCGCCAACTTCAAAGCCATTATCATACCTAAAAATATTAATAGTACAATGCAATACTTTTTTTTAAAAGATTTCTATTAAAGTTATTAAAATCAAATTTGGGTTCTGCAAGGAATCCCCTCTATCTGGAAAAAATCTGCTTCAAAACTCCCATGTTGTTTAGCGTATAAAAATAAGATTGTGTAAATAAATAGTCATTTTCCTAATTAATTTGAATATATGCAATATAATATGAATTTTTGAAACTATTATGTGCTTTTTTTGATTTAACAGCTTTTAACCTGGAGACTTGTCGGCTTATGGTATCAATGCTGGATGTATCCTTTACTTTGATTGATGTCTAGAGTGTTTTTTTCTGATCACCCTCCCCCCCCCAAAAAAAATTCTTCCTAAAAGAATTTATCTAGGAATTAATACCCAGTAAACACAAGGTGACAGATGACCACAAAAAAAGTTTTCTGAAATCATTAGCTTTTAAGATGTAGTTTGGTGTGAAAAAGGAAAGGAGCTCAGTAAATAGAATGTTGGTTCCTCAAGAATTCAAGGAAGCATCAGAGAACACCTATAGAAATCAGGGTGGTCTGGCAAGGTATTTTGCTTTAACAGTGAGCTAGGCATGATTCACACCTGACCTTCAGGCGGTGGAATTTCTCACATCACAGTTACTGCACTCAGGTTAGCTATTGGTGACCCTGCAGTGCCTTTCATCCCACCTCATTTTCCAAAAGTGAAAACCCTGGGTCTGGAAGGGCCCAGCAAAGGAATGTTAAAGCCAAGACCCCAGGACCCTAGCAGCATCGCCTGGGGCGCCAAGAAAGTGCGGCACAGTTCCAGGAACTCTTGTTTTTTACATGTGGCTCACAGTGGCCACATTATTTCATTGTAATCACCTCACGTAGATTGTCTTTTTCCCACAGTGGAAATACGTACTCAGCTTTTCTCCCTAGGCCCTTCTTATTATCTCATTGGAATATGTTTTTATTATATCACACTAAGAAGAACATACAACATTTTTAACCTTTTTAGCAGAAAGATCATTATATTCCCTTATCCTTGATCTTGAACCGTTACAAAATGTTGCAAAATAAAGGTACTCTAATCCTTGATTATAATTCAGAGAGATATGTCAGGCACAATGGGTTTCAATGAATTTAAAGAACTCTGGGCCGTGCTGAACGGCTGGAGACAACACTTCACCAGTTTTGACAGTGACAGGAGTGGAACAGTGGACCCTCAAGAACTGCAGAAGGCCCTAACCACAATGGGTGGGTATGGCTAACTTGAGCCACCTGGTCGGCATAATTCTGTGTTAATTTCTAAAACTAAGTGCTATGGGAAGGCAGTTTCTGATTTCTAGAAGAAGTGTATATTCATAATTAAATACATAATACATAGTTGCTAGTGTGTATTCGTAATTAAAATGAGTGTGCCCCCAGTCTGAAAAAAATTGTGCTTGATTATTTTCAACGGTCTTCTTGTAATCCTTTCACGTTATTTTTTTCACTGGGTGATTTTCCTTCCTTCAGGATTTCGGTTGAGTCCCCAAGCTGTGAATTCAATTGCAAAACGATACAGCACCAATGGCAAGATCACCTTTGATGACTACATCGCCTGCTGTGTGAAACTGCGAGCTCTGACAGGTGTGTTCTTTGAGATGGTGTATCTCCAAGGGCCAAGAAGACACAATTTGCATGACATTTCATTTTCAGTGTTCTGAACTTCTTTCGTCCCTGATCACTCTTTCCACCCCCCCCATTTCAATGGCTTTTTTAACACTGCTATTAAACCTAACTAGCAGAGTAATTGTGTTTTTTGTTTTCAGAAATTCTTTCAGATTAGTGGTAATCTGCCATTAAAATAATCTTAACTTTCACAAAATGTTCCAAAATATGATAAGCTAATTTGTGCACTTTTGATCAGAGTCTGTGATTTCTCCCTATAATGTAAATATGTGAAGAGAGTAAAATTACTCATTTGTAGCTCTCTTTCCTAAGTCCTCTTGTTGGAAAGTAATTTCAAATGGTAGTCATTTAAATGGTAGTGATATTAAATGGTAGAACGTACTTCTTAGATGAGGCTATATTAGTAATCTCTACTTTTCTATCCCCTCTTTTTCTTTCTTTTGTATATTTTTGTTGTTCCAGTCTTCTCTTTAGTCTTTTTTACTCTTTTTAAAATGTGGTTTTGTAATTTTTTTTTTTTTTTTTTGCATCCTAACAAAAATTTGAGGTCAGTTTTTTTAATTTAAATTCAAGTTAGTTAACGTACAGTGTAGTAGTAGTTTCAGGAGTAGAATTTAGTGACTCGTCACTTACATATGACACCCAGTGTTCATCCCAACAAGTGCCCTCCTTAATGCCCATCACTCATTTAGCCCATTCCCCCTACCCATCTCTCCTGCAGCAACCCTCAATTTGTTCTCCGTATTTAAGAGTCTCATGGTTTGCCTCCCTCTCTGTTTTTTTCTTATTTTTCCTTCCTTTCCCGTATGTTCATCTGTTGTGTTTCTTAAATTCCACATATGTGTAAAATCATATTACATTTGTCTTTCTCTGACTTATTTCACTTAGCATAATATACTCTAGTTCCATCCACGTTGCAGGTAGCAAGATTTCATTCTTTTTGATTATTAAAGTAAATTCTTTTCAATAGCACAGAGCTCAGATAGGTGAAATATTTTATTACAGCCCGTTTGTCATATTAGGGACTCCCATCTATCCATTTCCTAATTAAACATTATCTATGTTATTAACAAGTTTGAAATTCTGTGTTTTCATCACAACTAAGTAATGGCCTTGGAGGTCACATGGCTTTTACTGACTTTGGGATAAGATGCTTTCTTCCAGCTGCACATTGAAAAAGATAGTTGACTAACTTCTACATTGTTGTATTACTTTGTTGTTTATTAAATTTATTCATGTTCATTGTAGTTGGCTTCTTTGCTGTGGTCTTTTGTTTATGTTAGCTGGTTTTACAACTCACATGTTTCTACAGTTTGAACCCAATGCCAAAATAAGTAACTATTGTGATTTCAGATGTTACAAAAATAACCATAAATTTTACTGTGGTGTTTTACAGACAGCTTTCGAAGACGGGATACTGCTCAACAAGGTGTTGTGAATTTCCCATATGATGATGTAAGTCTCCGTAAATTCACAATTGGGCATCCCTTTTGAAGTTAGCCATTAAGAGCATCTTAAGGATGCAGAGTAATGAAGGATTAAATGATCAGGAGTTACCATTCAAAATTTATCAATTTCATTTATTATTAGTCTTACTCATAGACCACTGTTTGATTCGCATTAAAAGACTTGGTTCAAAGCCCAACTGGTCTCACTTGCTGGTGGGGTCACTTAGGCAGGTTTCTTCATTGCTCCAAGACTATTTGAGGAGAGGAAGTAGTAATGCCTTCTTCCCTGGGCTGTTGTGAGATTTCAATCAGAAATGTCCCTGAAAACACCATGCAGATGTTGCTGTTTCTGGCTTCATTGAATAAATATCTCAGTCACTGAGAAGTAAATTTAACAACTCCAAGCTGTACTTGACACACCCATGTTCTTCATTGAGGCTATAAAGCACAAACTTAAGTTGCAATTTAAAACAATGTATTTACTAAACAGCCACACTAAATGTGATAGGACAAGGCAAGGCCGTGTAACCAATGTGAACATAGCCAGTTGTCATCTCTGATGGCATTAGCTGAATACACATAACATAACTAGGGAGATGCTTAGTTGTTCTATTTTTTGGTCAGCTATGGACTTTAAAAAATTGCTTTCAGAATAGCAGTCACTGTGATAACTGAATGTTCTAAAAAAGGTTTCTCTGCTACAAAATGCAAGGATGCACATATTTTCAGTTTGGCAGCTGCCACAGTTCAGATCATTTAAAAACGCTTATGTGTAAGTATGTTTATTTCTTCTGCTTAAAGGTGTGTTTTCATTAGTGTGTATCAGTGTCTCGGGTGACAGTCCTGTCATTCTTTCCAAAGATGGAAAAGCAGCCTATGGAATGGAAAGTGCATGGACTTTGGCCTCCGATGGGCCCTTAGGAGATTTTAAATGTTCCCTTTTATCTGAAAGTGATCATCAGCTCGGCCTTGTAGGAATGCTGTAGGGATTAGCATACACAGTGCCTCACTGGTGTCGGAAGAATGAGAAAGAAAATTGATAGAAAAGCAGAGTGTTGGTGTTTATGGTGAAGCAAACGTTTCACAGCAAATGCTGATGCCTCTCAACTTGGGTTTCTGAATTGCAGAGGAAAGGTCATATATTCCGTTTCTGTGTATACACATACTTGCATGCTAGGATTTATTTGCAATTAAGCAGATTTTAAGGGCATAACCTATTTAAAAGGTGCAGGTGCCAGAGCAGTGGGGTACTACTGTGTAGTTTGGAGGTCCTCAGGTGATTTAACAGTATCAACTGTTATTTCTGAGTGGGTACCTTTTACCATGACCATGACCATTACCATTTCTAGAGTCTGAGATATTTGGAATTTTAAATATTCTTTATCCATTGAAGTAGTCTGCTTTCTGTAAGAAGAGAAACCCACTCGATTTTCTATTAGACTGCTTCCCCTACAAACATGAACCTTTCTATCATGTACTTTTATTTTAGAAATGGATGTTTCTTGATCCATAATTCAGTTTAGGAAAACAAAATGTAAACTGCCGAAAAATAAGCTAGGGTGTATTCAGTGCCACAATGTGTGCAGGGTAACGTGGACTTGGTCTCTCTTTCAGTTCATTCAGTGCGTCATGAGTGTTTAAATCAAGAGGAAGCTGCATGAACATAACCGACATTCCGACTGGAGTCCTCTTTTGCCTTTGCCTTCAGTAACGTGTGTAACTTGCATCACTGCTTTTCCTTAAGGGCCGTCATAAAGGTTTATTACTTTATGTACAACTGAAGTATTTAGTACTGATAATAAATTCTTTGGAATTTTACTAATACAAGATCGGGTCTCTTATACCATTTAGAACTTCGTTGAGCCATTGTCAGTGATGCCTTATTTTGTTGCTGAGCCTCTTTTATGTAAATTTCAGCATGCAAAATGTTTAAGGCACATTATGTATTTTTCATTGTAAGATACTTTAAAATCTTCCCATCAGACTATATTGTTCTTATCTTTCCTAGAAGAGATTTTACATGGTATTGAAGGCCTTATGTGTGGAGTATTCTTATCATGTAAATGATTTATACCCTCTTGGATGCAGGAAAAAAAAACAACAACGAAAAACCATGATAATCCATGTCAGGCTTCACCTTAGTGGACACTTAAGAACAGGCTTTAAGGCTTACACATTTTTGATGGCCACACAATTGGACAGGGAGCATGAGTGATTATTTTCTGCCTCTTTAACACCTGTTGAACCATTTGAGTGGCAAATACTATCTGTCACCAAGTTTTTTTGTCATCATCCACCTAGACCTTTATTAACTGCACTTAAAAATCTTGTAAATTATGGGCTTAACTATGTAAAAAAAGAAAACTGATGGAAAGAAACCTAAGGGAATATATGAAAATATTAACTATGGTCATTTTTGGCTTATGAGATTCTAGGTGACTTGAATTTCCTTGATAGATTTTAGTATTTTCCAAGTTTTCTATAATGTGTGTGCTTTCCTTCTAAAATCAGAAGATAATTTTTAAAATATTGATAGATCCATTTTGAAAGGCCACGCATTCACACTCACATTATAAAATATACACAGAAAAAGGACTGGAAGAGAGACCAAGATATTGATGTTGCTACCACTGGCAGTCAGGGTCATGAGTTCATTTTCTTCCTTCTTACTATTGTTCCAAATAATCTCTGATAAGCAAGTATTGCATTTATAATGGAAGACTTTTTTTTTAATTTTTAAACCACGTGCTTTTAAGTAGGATCTGGAGTCCCAATACCGGCTGTGTCTCTTCCTGAATATGTAAATTAATCATCTCAGATAATCTCAGAGCCTCAGTTTCCCCATCTTTGCAAAGGAGATTAATACTCCATGGGATAGTTCTGAACATGAAAAAGTGCGTTGGTTTAATAAGCATCAATAAAGTTTCCGTTTCTTGGATTTAAAGCTGGTCTGGTTTGCTCTTTTTTGCGAGAGAGCACAAGAGGTGAAACATGATGCGGTTGGCCTATTTTCTCCCTGCCAGCAGCATATCTGTCTTATTTTAGGGCTCCAGTGTGATAGCTACCATTCAGATGATCAATTATTTGTCACCAATGAGAAAACATTTCTAAGCATCTTCAGCCTCATTTCACTTGGTTATTTTTTCAAATATTGCTAAAATATATTAAATTTATAAATATTTAGCCTTAAGTATGTCAAGTATTCCCACCTGGACTACATATGTGAGGCAGCCTGCTTTATATTACACAGTGTCTCTAGGTTTCACTCCAGATACACTGTTTGTGAGACCATAAAGCTTGGCATGAGCCTGAGCTTTCTAGCAAAGGGCTAAAGAAGGGTCAGAGGGCCAGGAGGCAGAGAACTCATTGTTAAAGCCCCAGTGCCTGCTGTTTGATTCAGACTCACTAGGATCCCATGAGGAAGGGATAGTTAAAGGAAATGGTCATTTCCTGGGTGACCCTAATGTGATAAGGAAGAAGGCCTACACTAGCCCAAAGTTACAGACCATGTTTGAACTATCCTCCTGCTCTGGTAAGTCCCACAGGGTGCTGCATCAATCATGGTTCTGAATTTGCTTTTTGGATAAATGCTCAAGTATTGCAAAACCGTGTCTCTTGAAACATTCAATTACTTCAGTTTTAATTATTGATACCTTGTAGCAATCTCCTTATCTCTTCCACTTCTGCTTTCATAGTGTCTTTCCAAAAGTGTGGAGCCTCATCTTCAGTATGTCCCCACAGTTAGAACGTTTCCTTCCCCTTGACAAATTTGACATATCCATCCGTGTTCTTCAGTTACAGCCAAAGTCTTCATTACAAGTGAATCTCGGGTTGCCTTATTCCTATTTTATGTTGGGTTCTGTGTTTCATTCACTATATACTTCCAGTGTAGTCTCACCCAATTCTTAAAACTGTTTCTTGATCTGTTCTTCTTAAAAGCATCTAGCTGGAGTATGGTCAAGCTGTGAGCCCGAGCTTGACTACTTCAATTATTTAGAGACGAAGTTCCTCAAAAAATGCCAACTCATCTTTGGAGATAATGTGAGTTAGTCTTGTATTTCAGGAGATTCATGATTTATAAAGTACCTATATGTAATCAGTTTTGATGCACTCCATTGGAATGTGGCTGCAGAAGCCGGATTTATACCACAGCAGCCCTATATAATTAACCACAGTCCTCTCTCCCTTTGAGCCAAAGTGGAGGTGAGACTGCATTTCAGCATGATGCTCCAGGTGGTACTGTCTGTCCATGAGAGGCATGTGAGCTAAAACTTGTGCTATCCCAACTAGACTTTGCTTTTGCTCACCTGAGTGTGTTACTGTTTCAGTGTTCATCTGAATTCTTCTATGCCTAAAATATTACAAATATAAGAAATGGAGCTATATGTAATCCTAAATTTTTTTAATCTAATAAACATACAAACTCTAGTCAATGACTTCTGTTATTCTCACGTTAAAACTACTTTGGGGGGTGCCTGGGTGGTTCAGTTGGTTAAGCGTCTGACTTATGCTGAGGTCATGATCTCACTCTCCAGGAGTTTGAGCCCTGCATCGCACTCTGTGCTGACAGCTCAGAGCCTGCAGCCTGCTTCAAATTCTGTGTCTCCCTCCCTCTCTCTCTGTCCCTCCTGCGCTCCTGCTGTCTCTCAAAAATAAACATTAAAAATAATAATTAAAAAAAACCAGTAGTCTGACTACTTACAACTACTTTTTTCCTCAGCAGACTGTGAGCTGAAGGCAAGGAAACAGCAGGTGTCAAGGTTAAGACCAGAGGATGAAATGGCTCTGTGAGAGACAAACAGCTAGGTGGACCAGTGTTTTAGGCAGTGAATCTCCTGAACCTAAGCCAAGTGCATCCAAGGCCCAATGCTTTAGAGTCTAACACAGGTGAACTTATTCTATTAAATAAGCACCACTGCCCGGGCTCTGGGTCAGGATTCAGGAAACAGATCCATGTTAGGGTCAGAGAGGAAGTGCTTATGAGGCAAGGCAAGTGGATAACAGGAGACTCCACCTGTCACTCAGCTGAGGAAACTGTCCAACAAAGTGAGCAACCAGGCTTTGCTACAGGATCTCTGTATTTCTCATGCTTCTGAAAGAGAAACCACGGTCGGGAGAAAAAACAGGATTAAAGGGAGTCAGGCATCAAAATAACATAAAATCTTTTATTGAAAGTCACTTTATTGATGTTACAATGAGAGTAACATAGAAAACTGTGGTATCTTTTTAGCTTCAGAAGTGAATACAAATAAAATTGTGCCAGAAATTTGAACCTCAAGTTACAGTGACCTTTAAAAACAGTTAAGGTTTTTGTATACCTACAATATAAGAACAACTTGATAATTTGAACAGCCATAAAACACATCACGCTTGCTCAGGAAAGCAGTTGCCATAAACATTTCAGTTGGTGATTGCCAAAACCCAATTTTTAAAATAGCTTAAGACCTGAAGTGCAGAGGAGCAGAGAGAATATATTAAAATGAAGCCAATCTTAGGTATATACACAGGATTACCTGGTTACCAAAAGTGAAATCATGCCGATAATAACACTTCCCTATGAAGTGGCTTCCACTATCTGTAGATGGACATCACCCCTTAAGATGATGGTTGTGGAAAACACTAGCGCAGACCTACCTTGGCTAACATATAAGCTGCTATGTTTAGTTAGAATGCCCAGTTCCTAAAAGAAGTTGTCTTTTTGGGATGCTAGATTGGAGGGGTAAGTCTCTTCCAGCAAGTTTAAAAAGGACATACGTGCTTAGTTATCCTGAATAAACCTTTTGTTAAGCACTTTAGAAGTTAGTGTTAAAAAAAAAAAAAAAAGTTTCCCATATAAAACAAAGGTGTTTTAATGGGTAAATTTTTACCCATTAAAAAGACTGGCTGTAGAATCACAGATTTTGTGCTAGATTAGAAAAGAAAGTGGGGTTTCTAATCAGGCAGTGATATACATGTATAACTTAGCAAGAACTCTTGTATCATAACTGAATAAATTATTAATTCATATCAGCACTTTCCATAATGTGTTATCTGGTAGAACTTAGCACCGCTATGTTTAAAGATTTGGGGGCTATTTGCATTATTTTAGAGTTTGACCATACAACACAAAAAATCCACATCTGACACTTTTTTAACTTCAGAGGAAAATGTCCTTTTCATAAACTCTTTGAAAACTTTACTGATGATTTTGTAAGTGCATTATCTTAAGATTGCTAGTCTCATTGTATGCCTTTTTGTAAAAAAAAAAAAAAAAGAAAAAAAAAAGCCACCCTACATTTTCCCTGGTTTTGATTTTAAGGATACCTAAACACATGAAATAATGGTGCCCTGGAGCAAAACTCTGCCAGCCTTGAAGTACGTCTCCATTCAATACAGGTTTTATGAACAATTCAATAGGGACACACTGAGCAAGGGTGACAGGCCCAACATGTACTGGGCCCATAAAGTATTTATAGAGCCAACACTCAGTAAAACTGCAAAGTATACCAGTCTGTCGTAGGCACTCAGCCCCTCTGTCCCCACCACACCCCCAGTGATCTTCTGCACACCTGGCTTCTGGGCTCATGTGCGTCTCCATTCTGCTCCTGTGTCAAGACTAAATACCCCGTGACCTCCCAAGGCTCACTACTTTCTATCCCCCCTCCATCCTGAAATATACCCGAGGACCAATCTCTTAGTGACTTCTAAATGTTGCATAATCCATGCCCAGTTGCCAGTGAGAGAAGACTAAAGGTGCCTCTCTTCCTCCTATTCTTCACCCTGTGGTTCTCCCCAGTGCCAGTTTAGCCAAGAAGGGACTTACCTCCATGACAGTGAGGAGAAAAGGGCTGGCAAGCTACTGAAGAGGAGTAGGAAGGGTTTGGAAGCATCTCTCAGACTCCGTAGGGAGGATGCTTACTGTTTGTCAGGTCCTGGAGATAAAGGACAAAAATGCCAGGCAGGTTTTTGTTTTTGAATGTTTTGCTTTTCTACTTATAAACTGAACCAGATGGTGCTCCATGTTAGGGGCTCTGACAAAGCCATGAATAAAACATGAAGAGAAATACTATGCCCTGATTTCTAAAGTCCTGCTGTATCTTCATTTGATGAACATCTGGGAAAGCTCCTCTCAGAATTAAAGGCACCTGCCTGCACAGCATATGCTATCAGCATGTGCCCAGAGTTCTAGCACATGAGGCTGTGCACGTGTGCACACACACATACAGACACCCAGATCGTGGGCTGCTGCCTCTTAACGGATTCATAAGAGCAGTGTGGGCTCCTCACAATCCAACAGAGGAAGCTGTTTATGAAAGTGCTTAGTGCTCCTATGCCAGGAGGAAACGTGCTGCATCCAAAATCAGAACAGTTTTTATCCATTCAGAAAATAACTGAGGGGAAAAACAACAACAAAAAATTAACAAGCCTCAAATTAAGCCCTATTCCACAGAAATATCTGCCTTTTATATATTTTAAGCTAGTAGAATGAGAAATTCACCTTGACTCCATTGAACAACAACAAAAATGTGCGTAGCAATTTTAGGGGAAAACGGAAGCGAAAGGAAAAGGACCATCAGGACCCTGAAATGTAGATGTTATGCCGCCAGTGGAAGTCAGAACATTTCATGAAAAACTGATGGCAACTTACCAAGTTGGTAGGATGGAATTTATAATACGCTGCCCAAGGGGGCGCCCTTGACAGCAGCTGGCAGTGGTGTCCTAGTCAGGCTGTGGCAGCAAGCGGCTGGCCACCCTTCGTTCCTTCAGTCCACTGAGTGCCACATCTCGGCACTGCCAGCTACTCGGTATCCTCCCAATAAACTACCCTTCCTTTACGTTTAAGTAAAATAAAGTAAAATAGTCTTCTCTTTAGGTAAGGATTTATTATGTTGAATAACATGAGGAAACATTAAAACACTAAATATATAAGTTAAAGTAGAAGTACATGACAACAGGAAATGAAGAATGGATGAAATAAACACGCGTGATTTTGTAAAGGAGGGCATAGAAATACCGCCTCTCCTCCAGCCCATAGGTAACTAAAAAGTAAAGAACAAAGTCCAAAAAAGCAAAAGGTAAAGAGATCTGGGACAATTGACAGTTTAAATTATGCAAATTTGCAAGGGAATCAACAACAACAACAACAACAACAGAAACGTAAGGCTGTGATGAAAATCAAACATAAATAGTCCTTTTTGGGAAGTGCACAAAAGATCTAATTTTATCAGCAACTTCTTTTAGAAACCCTATCTATCTTATGCACAGAAATCTATACCAGACTGACTTTATACATAAAGACAATTTTAAAAGCCTTTTTAAAGCCAGGGGAAAAAGAAACTAGTATCACTTAATAAAGCACCTATCTCAAGTATTTTTGGCATTCCAACCCTACATTTATTAGTCAAAAATTTTTAAAGAACAGCCCTGGGTTTCTTTAAACTATAGAGCAACTAAGGTAAACTGAAGGCCCTCACTATGCTGTGCTGTTTGAGTGGGTTCCTTTCCACAGGCTGCATGTGACCTGGGATCACTTTCCAGCTGAGGGACTCCTGAGGAGGACGCTACTTCCTGACTAAAGAAAGAGTTGGCTGGACACAGACCGGTAAGTCTGACCTCAGTTCCTTCAGGGGCTCCCTCTTACCCCCACCCCCTTGTTATCATTCTTAATAAAGAGATTTCAATGTTTAAGTCAGAGTTTGCTATACTGCAATGTCTACGGACAAATGGACCATTGCAGGCAGCACGGTTGTCAATCTGAAGTTTTATCTATGCAAAAAACTTTAGAAAGAAAAGAAAAAGGCATACAATGGAACAGAAAGGCCAATGAACCACTCTTCTCTGCTTGGCATCAGAGTTCTATAATTGACTGGGGGCTATAAATATTAGTTGCGTGATACAAACCGCTCTGATGACCTCAAAGTTCCTCTCCAAAATATATTAAAAAGTTCTAATGCTGTGCTTGTGTTTAGTGCCATAGGTCCATTTTCCTGTTTCAGTGGATGAAAAGTCATAAATATTTAGATTTAATACATCTAAATACCAACCATGAGTACCCGTATAGGTATTTCTCAAAAGTATCCACTAAGATTATAAACTTGTCAGAGAATTCTGCAAATGGCTGTAAGAATGTTCAAACATTCTTAGGCAGATACCCAGAACAGAACATTAAAGCTACCATAAAATCATAATCTTCCTGCAAATAAAACAAATGCTTTTCATTCAGTTCCACCTGAAGGTTATTATCAAGGAGCCTGACTATAAATAACTATGCCTTACAAAAGACATGTTACAATGACTTTTACTTGAAATAATAATTTTCATGTAAAAATAATTGAGAAAGTAAGGAAAGTGTATGGGAGGGAATCTGTTGACAAGTAGCTCCCCATTTGTAAATTCTTTCAAATTAGGGTTTATGTAACCGTAACTAGGAAGCATATTTACACAAGGTACCTTACATTCAAATCTATAAACTCTTTTATAGTCAAAATAAATCTTATAACATTAGCATTTTATACACTCAATACCAGAAAATATTCAGTGCACATTAAAGTGATCTTGGTCAAAAGCCACTTTATTTGCTACATCTTTAAATCTGTCTGCCCTCCTGCCCTTCATTTGAGCTACATGGCATTGTCACCCAACACTCACCCAAATCTTAATCTGATGGATCATTTCATTGTAGTATCGACAATCACATCCCTTCCTGTCATGAAAAATGCCATTTACAAACACTTTATAGTTTTGAGTGATTAAATTTCTTGTCAAACATTTTCAAAGACTTTCAGAAGAGAGGTCCGTTTCAGAAGACAAAAACCATAGAATATAAAATACTGCCTCTAACATGGCCCTGCAGTTTGGGCATCTAAGATGACTATATGTGAAGATGAAATGGATTTTGACCATTGACACTATTGGGAGAGATCAAATTTAGGAGAATATTTCTGAAATCTTGTCTGCAGATTCCATTCCTCTCAAGAAAAAGGAAAGAAAATGAGGAAATTCAGAAGTACTCTTCACATCAAAGCATTGGATTGATCCCATCAATTTCGGAGTTCACTAGAGTAGTCTTTCCCGGGGAAGTTTTCTTTTAGAATGACAGAGCTGCGTTGTAACAGCTATCCAACTTTGGTTTTAAAGAAGGGACTTTAACATAGATTTCTCACTTTTCTATGGATTAAAAAAAAAAAAAAAAAAAAAAAGAGTTCAAAACATCAGATCTTTTCCCCTGCCAGCTGTTTGGGTAACTTCACAGTTGCCGCACACTTGGGGCTTTAGGTTTCTTCTAACCCTCTGTGGCCTGTTGAGGCTTCCCGCCCAGTTGGTAGAACCTCCATCACCTTGCTTCCACATCAGTGCGGAATGACCTGTTGGACTCACATCCTACTGATGATAAATATCCTTGATAAACAGTGTAAAAGTTGGTTTTATTAAAACAAGCTATTCATCTTACAGATAAAGGTAGCTAAAAAGTTTTGTCAAAGAACAAAAATTGAGGCCACAAAGGGTTAGAGTGTCGGCAAGTCGGAAGCTATCAATGTATCAGGGGCCCCGGTCTCACGTGTCTTTGGTACACTTGCTTAAGGTCAGCAGGACGTGCTGCTGAGGGGCTCACGGGCCTCCAGGGTGAGACTAGGCGTGCTCTGATACTGAAAGACAACAGTTGCCGAGGCAGACACTGGCTGGAGGACTCCCAGGGAGCAGCCATCAGCCTCAGAGTGAGTGCCTGGAGGCCAGAGACTGGCTACACTACTGAGCTCCTGCCCCAGCCAATGTGGAAGCCCCAGATTTGCTGGGCATTTTCTTCCCTGGTTCGATTAATCACTCAAGAAAACTGCCTCCAGGCTGTGCACAGCTTAAAGGGATATCACAGGTTTTGGAGGACAAATACCAATTACGGAGAGAGACACTTAGGGCACTGACCACTATATTTACAACATCATCTGTTTATCATCTTTAAAGACCATTTGATGGATGATGACGATGTGCCTGTTACTGATTATTTTTAGGCATTTGGCAAAATACACTTGTGTGTAACAGTTGCTTTTTTTATTTTAAAAATGTTTACATATGTACAATTGTTCTTGTATGCTGATATAAATATGAAAAGTAAAAAAACAAAAATAAAGATACATGTTTCGAGTAAGCATATGGGATATTGGCCTCTCAAGCTTTAAAGTCCTGCAGAAAAATCCTATATGCCTTAGCCCTGCATGCTAGTTTCTATTATGGGATGTTGTTTCCTTAAATGTGGAAAGCAATAAACAGAAGCTTCATGCACATAGCATTACTGTCTACAATGAGGATGTGCTTCAGAATGTCAGTTCTGAATCCACTATTGTCCCTTAGGAAACTTGCTACATTTGGGTCATGAGTTAATTTTAGTGAGATTTCTACATGTATCTGTCATGCGGATTATCCATTAACATACCGGTACCTTTATTTTTCCATGTTATAGTGTAACATTTCAGTAGTTCTTTTCATGGTTCAGTTAAATCCTAAGCCAATGACAAAAAGAAAATGGTATCCAGACGTGAGACTCGGCTTCCTCTCCTCTGTGGCATCTCAGAGGGTCTGTATTGTCTGAAGAGCAGATAGATTTGCAGTGATTCCGTGAGGCTGGGTTTCTATAAAAGTTGAAGTAAACAGTTTTGATGTATCACATGTAAACAGTGGATCTTAAATGGATGTCTCCCATAGCTGCACAACAGAGAAAAGCAAAATTGCACATTATGAAAGCAGGAAAACAGGCATATTTTTTTTAATGTTTATTTGAGAGGGAGAGAGAGAGAGCATGAGCAGGGGAGGAGCAGAGAGAGAGGGAGACACAGAATCAGAAGCAGGCTCCAGGCTCCACGCTGTCAGCACAGAGCCCTATGTGGGGCTCAAACCCATGAGCCATGAGATCATAATCTGAGCTGAAGTCAGATGCTTTACTGAGCCATCCAAGTGCACTGGAAACAGGCCTATTCTGAGCTATGAAGATGAAAAAGATGAAAAAGAGTTGGTGATTCCATCCATACTTATGTGGTTGTAGAAGCACACTCTTATGACATCTGATGAATGGATAAAATAAACGCTCTAATTTTTAGCTTTCTCCTTCCTCTAAACCTGTGTTTCAATCTTGTTAGCAATTGCCACCTTTTAATACCAAACCTGTCACATCTTCATTTACTGTTACTCAAAAATTTGAATAGATTAAATATTATGTCTCGAATGAAATAAAATAATTTAAAATATTATTTTTTAAAATCATATATACACTCCTTTTCCCCAGGATTCTGATATGGCCTTCTAGAGTAGTGGTTCTCGACCCACCTGCACATTTCAGTGATCTGAGGAGGTTTTAAAAATCCTACTGCCCAGGCCACTCATCAGACCAACTAACTCAACATCTCTCTGGGTCTCTGGGTGGGATTCAGGCATCAGCATAATCTAGAAGCCCTTCAAACAATTCCCATGTACAGCCAGTACTGAGAAGTACTGACCTCGGGAAAGTGTGATTCCATCAATACCACTACCACCCACTTAGAAATCACTGCTGTGGGCCTATGACCAGGCCATCTGTTCTCCAAATCCATCACTGTCTCCTAGAAAATTGTCCTTTCCCAGGAAACAAAGCACACATGGCATGATGTCAATTCCTTACTTCCCTTACCTCTTCCCCTCCTTACCTCTCCCACCAGTTCTGTACACTGTCCTGTTCATATCTAATTTCTACAGCATTCAGTAATTGCTTTAATGGAGTATAAACAACCTTGGAATGATCAAATATGAATGCAGCTCAGCTCACCAGAGTGGCTACTTAAAAAAAAGAAGAAGAAGATGACGACAACGACGAAGAAGACCTGGCTGATAAAATATTGCTTCCAGGCAATATGATTTGGGTACACTTTTATAAACATGAACAAAGAAAGTCTAGAGACCAGTGTGACTTAAGTTACATCCAAATTAATCCAAATTCCATTTTTACTGAAATCTAGAGCATGTCATTGTATACCTAATGAGATTCTGGGACAGAAAAAGGAGAAACGGCTAAGTGACTATGTGGATGTTTCTACATAGGTTCCCTATTTAATAGGTTCTCTTGAATCTTCGTGGAAATCTTGTTCTCAATAGTCACATTGGCTACTCCACAAAGACTATGGTAGAGCCGCCTGTGTTCTCCCCCTTTGGAGGACAAATCTCTCAACTCTAAGGATGTTTGTGTGTGTGAATGACCCCTGTTGGTGGAGAATAGTGAAAATGAATGGTTAAACAGGACATTTGCCAGGTAAGAACATCTGGATTGACACTCAGATGATGGTATGGAGTGGTAAAGGGTTCAGGCTTCAGCTTCAGTGAGTCCAGTTTTCTCTCAAACGGTTAAGAAAATTAGTGACAGCTTGCAGAAAGGGGAACAGAGGGATGACACTGGTGGGACACTGGTGGAACCTGAAGATCACCATCATCCCAGTGAGGAAAAAGGAGCGAAGAATTTTGCAAGTCATCACTTTTAGGAACAGACATGACTGTGGCCGTTTCTAATTTCTAGATGACTATAATGGAGGGGTTGCTGGTAAAAAAGATCTGCTTGTTTGATACTCCCCAGCCCTCCAAGGCAGCCCAGAGATGGGGGCTGCCTATTCTGCAGGATTCTGCTATGTGCTCATGTGGATGTTCATGGTGAATGGAGCCACGGGCCTTTCACACTGTCCCCGGGGTTACAGTCTTCACTGTCGCCCCATTCATCCCAGGGAAGAGGCCACGAGCTGGCCATGTCTTCTGGGGAGCTGTCATTTTCAGGGCTTTCCTGTGGGAACAATAACCTGCACCCTGGCATGACAACAGCTGAGAGAATATCCCCAAGTAGACAGAGCAAAACAGCAATGTAAACAATTTATCAGAGGTAAAAAGTAGGGTGTTATACTTTGACAATTCTCTGAGGAAGGATGACAGCCTTGGATTTCTTTACCACATACTCGTGTCATGAACAACTGGATGCCTATTAACGATTCTGTTTTTTACAGCCAGAAAGCTGAGGGCTGGGAATCGGAATTTTCTTCTTCCTTTCCATCTTTTACCATTACCCATATGAACACGGGAAGCTAACTTGTCACGTAATTCACAAAACACCACTGCTTGGTTTTAAAGTCTTTTTGATCATAGTAATCTAATCTGCTTTTAGCGAGTTTTCTTACTGACTGCGAGTGGATCGAGTTAAAATTTGAATGATTCGTGTATACCTTGAACCCCAAATCTTAAGCCATCAAAGAGGCTCTGAAATATCTTTCTACACCAAAAAACCTAGGAACCCGAGACCCACTAGCAGATAAATCTGCCGGGCTTTTAAAGCTCCATTTTTTTTTTTATTTTATTGCAAAATTATTTCTGAAAAGATCAACATTACACTGTAACTGACCACAACAGAACTTGGATACCAATAAAAGTAATTATTCTTTAGTGATATCTCTCATTTAAGCCTCTCTGAGGGCCAGTCTGCCTCTCTAAATTCGACTACCTCTCAAATTTCACATAATGGATGTATTCTGGGAATACTGTGAGGCTGAGCAGAATCATAATTAAAGTTATAAAAGAGGACTCAGTATTTAAGGAACTTCTGGCACACCTGAAGCTAATATAACACTGCAGACAATACTAAATTATATTACTAGATTATAGTAATATATTACTTCATTTAAAAAATAAAGTAGAAAGGAATTGGTTCTTCTATGTGAAGACCCAATGACAAATTAAAAAAAAAGTAAATAAATAAATAATAAATAAATAAAACTTATGGTTAACCATATTTTTATATAATCAGTTCTTATGTGTTTTTAAATATGGCTTTTTAGGGGTGCCTGGGTGGCTCAGTTGGTTAACTGCCTGACTTCAGCTCAGGTCATGATCTCCCTGTCCATGAGTTTGAGCCCTGAGTCAGGCTCTGTGCTGACAGCTCAGAGCCTGGAGCTGGCTTTGGATTCCGTTGCCTCTGTCTCTCTTTATCCCTCCCCCATTTGTGCTCTGTCTCTCTCTCTCTCTCTCTCTCTCTCTCTCTCTCAAAAATAAATAAATGTTAAAAAAGTAAAATAAATCTGGCTTTTTAAAATATAAGAGGTTGCTAAATTTTACCATACCCATTGCCGCATTTTTATAATATTAGAGATTTTTTTTTTTTTAATTTTTTTTTAACGTTTTATTTTTGAGACAGGGAGAGACAGAGCATGAACAGGGGAGGGTCAGAGAGAGGGAGACACAGAATCTGAAGCAGGCTCCAGGCTCTGAGCTGTCAGCACAGAGCCCGACGCAGGGCTCGAACTCACGGACCGCGAGATCATGACCTGAGCTGAAGTCGGCCGCTTAACTGACTGAGCCACCCAGGCGCCCCAATATTAGAGATTTTCATATGTATCCAAATTCCACCTTGCCTCTAAGCCACTGGTCTAACTTTCTGTCACAGGTTCTGATTTCTAAAGTCCTATTGGGTATTATTAGCCAGTAAAAGGCCTGAGTAAGCAAATTAGGCATGAAGATGAGGCTAGTTTATTTCATCTCTGGCATTTCCAGGTATATTAAAAAACTGATAAAAACAAAACACATTCTGTTTTGTTTATTCCAGGCTGTCATGTAGAAGCTACGAAGTATAATAAAAGATATAAATACATAGCAATGAATGATTAAAACATACCAAATATCACTAGAATTAATTCAGTAATTAAACTCATTTGCAAATATAAATCTGAGCCCCAAACCCCAAGAATCTTCTATTTTTCAATGGAATCTTGAAAATCTTCCCCCCCCCCACTTTTTTTTTATAAAGAAGGAAAAACAGCTCTCTCTTTTAAAGCATGAACTCATAGATAAACGATAATGACTGAGGCTATTAGTGTATATTCCACATACCCTGGCACTTGGTCGGTTCACTTTCTTCTCTTCATCAGGAAGTGGAGGCATTGGGTATGGGTATTTTCTGCTGGAGGCAATAGACCCAGTTGATGAAGAAGGAGACTTGGCAGGAGATAGAGTCCTGAGATGTTGAGAACACATGGAATAAATACTATGTGACTGCCTAACATCTCTTTCAAATATCTGAAAAGTAGGTTCAAAACAATCCCTCTGATTGCAATTTTCATAGGCCACTACTGCAAAGGTTTAACTACTGGGAGATTCTCTGTTCTTCACAACACTGGAATGCTGGAATTTTATTTTCCTAATGTCATAACTGCAATGGATTATTTAAATGTTAGCACACAGAATCAGACTCTTCAACTAGAAAAGCCAATCATGAAGTTTCCTATAGAATAGATAAAAAGCTAAAATGGAGAAGGGGCAAAATTATTCTAAGAGCTCATAATGGTAAATTAAATGTACAACATAGGAATATTCTGCCTTGTTTTTACCACTTAATGTAAAAAGTGTTTTAGTACAGTAATTCCAATTATATTTTTAAGTTCTGAAAATACAATACAATTGATACATTTATTAGTTGCTAAGTCACACACCAGTTTACACATAACTCATGCATTCAGAGGCCAGTATGTTAGTTGTGAAAGAACAAAGGCAAATAGAGGGGTTTTAATAATAAATTAGTAAACATGCAAGCAGTAAGGAGTGCAGAGTTCCAGCCAAACAACGAGTCTGATGAGAACATACAAAAATGGTCTGATCAGTCCCTACAATCAGCATTTCTGGACAGGGAGGGTTTTGTGCCACAGAAGTAGACCTTGCTAACTCATGTAGGGTGTACTTGTCATGCTAATAAGGTGGCTACACTTTAGTGACTGGAATTTTACTGAAATGAACACAAAACACAAATACCCTTCCTATTTAGATAACGTGTATTAACTCCATCATGAAGACATTCCGTATAAAGATACGCATGAGTTGTGATGTATTCTGCTCTTCTGTATTCTGCCTGTGCAGTGGTAATATGTGTGACTAGGCTGAGCTCACAGGAAGTGCCCACATCTGTTATCTTGTCTTCAAAGTAAAAAAACAAAAACAAAAACAAAAAAACAGCTAAGAGTTTGTTCACTTACACCGTATCAAAGGGAAACAGATGTGCTGATTCAGCAGTACCTATCCATTCACAAATGTTACCACTCCACATCTATGACTGCTCAGCTCCCAGTGCCTGGTGGCTGTGAGCCACACCGCTGAAGTGGTTACACAGCCACGTCAGAGCACAGGTATTATTGCTGCAGGAGGCACCTCACCTGCTGGGGGGGACTGACAGCCTGGGAGTGTCAGCAGCAGGGCGGTGCTGGGCAGGGGAAGATCCACTGCACTGCATGCAAAGGCATCAAGAGGGTTCTTCTTTCCCCCTTGTTGTAAATTTTGGTTCCCATCCATATATTACGCTTTGCTCTAGTTCTCCTGTAGTCTTCAAACCGGCTTCCATGTTATAGACACCAAATTCAAGCTGACGTTTGAAAATACTTTTTCCTACAAGTCCTGAGATTCAAGTGACCCTTCTTGCTCAATTGTAAGAATCAATACTGCTTTAACTTGCTTTTAATCTGTAACTCCTAATACTTCTTCTAGTTTTGGGAAATGTCCAGGACCAGTGTGAACTGGTCTAATGTTCTAGCAGTGTGAATAGTCACAATATCACAGATATTTGACTTCTCTTGTGCTGATGCTCCCCACTACAGAGCAGATGGGGCAGATGGGTAAAACTAAGAATACAAGTACTTCAAATCCTTCGAAAGACTATTAAGGCAGTGTATTACTACTGCATTTTTTTTCTAATGCAGAAATTAAGGATGTTTTTAATTTTAAGAAAACACTGCCAATAGGACTATGACCTTTAAGAAACATATTCAGTGTGTGTAGAATGAGGAGAAGTTTTTGTATTTAGATATTTAAATACATATTTCTAAAACAAGGGATGTTAACCTGGGTTCAGATTTTTAGCCTAATCACTACTGGTAAGAAACCCAAGTTCAGGAAAGCTAGTCAGGTACACAAAGAAATAAATCTTGTTTACTTTAGGGGAACATGCAAAATGAGTCCTCTTCTTAACTTGCTACAGTGTGGATGTGTCCATAGCATGAGCTGTTAGCTTATAGCTTCACAGTCATGCCAGTCATTCACTTGGCCATGAGTCCAAATGACCAGCTCTACACACATACCAGGCCATCCCAATGAGGGGTGCTGGAATATTTCCTCCAAATATTTTTCCATGGCCAAAGCCAATGGTGAGTGAAAACAAAACATAAGATATTCTCCAGATCCCCCAAGAGATTGCATGTATACTTCCTCTCACATGAATACGCCAGCTAGCTGACACTTTGGACTGACCCTGAGGGGAAGAAAAGCCAAGCAGGATGGTTTTAGTAGGGGCAAGGGGCATCATGTCCTGGAGGTTGGGTGGTGTGTGACAGCATATTATTTTGAGGGGTTATTCGGCACCAGAACAGGAGTCAGAATAAGAGCAGAGAACAAGGTGGGGTAAATCAGCTTAGGGAAATAAAAGCAAACTAAAATTTTGAAACAAATGTCTAAAGAGAGATTTCTGCCTCCACGGTCTTTTCTGACCCTGGCTACTTGCCTGGTAGTTCCAATCTGGCATTTACTGAAAACCAGGCACTGGCCCAGCTCATTCACTTAGAAAGTAATCTTTGAACAAATGTTAATGATTATCATTACAGCATTTTAAAAAACCATAATAACCTTAATGGGTGCCATTTAAGGCTAAACAATGAATGTGTGCCTGTGTGCCCATGGATTGTGGTCTATCTTGCGGCCACAGGAGACTTGCTGGGCTTGCCTTTTGTAGACATGTCTGTAAGGCCACGCTGAGCTCAGTTCTGCCCTCCAGGAATGGCTGAAACCACACCAGTCACGTATGAGGGACACGGGTCCACCCTTACTCACTTGTCTTTGTTCAGATGCAAATTTTATATAATCCAGAAGGATTTATAATGTGTCCTAGGATAGAATTTAAGTAGTCACTATACCCCCTGCTATTCTTAAGTAATTACAGAGAAGTGGAAAGGGAACAGATTTTGGAGTCACAGCCAAGCTGATAATTCTGATTCTTATACTTAACTAGCTGTGCTACCCTGAGTTACTTGTTGTGTCTCAGTTTCCTCTATCCATAGAAAGGGAGTAAGAATGCCCAAATATCATGATGTGGTAAGAGATAAAGGTATATAGCAGGCACTCAATACAGGATAATTATTTCTGGTTTCTTTTCAGAGCTACTGCATTTTCCGTAAGATCATGGGACTCTGAGTAATCAAATGCATAATACTCCAGAGAAAAGATACCTGCTCAGAGCTTGGAAAGCACTGTCACCAACAGAACTGCCCCCAGGGTGTAGGTATGGGGAGATAATGTTCTTTGTCCTGCTTGATGTGAGCGTATGCTGGCAACCATTTGAGCAACCAGTGTCGGATACAAGAACTGCGTAAGGGAGCACAGCTGAGGCACTAGCATCACTCAAAACTTTTTGGCATTTGCTTTTCTCTTCATAGTGATGAGGATGTAGTATTTTAAATGCTGGGCTATACTTTGGACCAGTTTGTAGCACTCACAAAGTCCCCACTGCGTTTTGATTAAGGATGCCACAAAGCCCACACCACATGGGTGATTAATAAAATGACCTTTGCCCCCATCGGTGTTTTGGCAGGAGAGGGAATCCCAAATAACCTGGTGACTGATGAAGCATATCTGAGCTTAAGCACAGGGCTGGCAAAGCATAAGCCAAAGTGTGAATGCACTTCGGCCCTCTATGTAAGGACTGGCTTGGACGGAGGGTGGATGAAATTCTCTCTGTTGTGTTAGAATCACTGTGCTAAAAGCTCTGGGGCATCTTCAATTATTCACGACTTTCACAAAAATTGTGCATTGGTTTTCAGGTCCTACCAACATAATGCTTATTAATCCTAAAATGAGAGTTACATTATAAACCTCCACTGGATTTTATCTAGCCTTTAAATACAAATACGGACTTTAATAATTAATTCATAATGTTGCCATCCACCGTGGGAGGTGACACCTAATTCTAAAAGAGGAGATAAAGAAACCCTCTAAAATTGCCCTCGCAGCTTTGCACGTGCAACCAGGGGTGCTAAAGCATTTCCCCATCCAAATTGCGTTTAGTCATGCAGCTTCTGGGCAGACCTGGGTGCTGATTTTAAGAAATGTGAACTCTTCTCTGGGAGCCACATCAACTACTCAGCTGACCCAGGGGAGGTGAAACAACTCTTCCGGGGTACCATTTCACAAATTAGTGTTGCAAAGATGCTAGGTCCATTTAGGGATAAAAGTCCTAGCCCATATGCGACCAAAGTCATTCTGTTTGGGTTCCATGGCTGATACAAATTACAATCTGCCCACAAGCCTGAGGAAGATAGACAGGAGAAATAGGACTGCAGGTGAGCCAAGATTCCAAATAACATTCAAAATAATCTTACCTGTCTTCCTGACGCTGGCCATCTTGAGAGCTACAGGTGAGGGTGGGATGTTTGAATGTGAGTGTATGTGTATGAGGTTCAGTGTGAGAAAGTGGTAAAAGCAGAGGAACAGGGCAGAAGGGAAAGATGGGGTATAAAAGCAGGATATATTGTTGTGAGCAGGCAGGGTTATGCTTTCCTTGGGGCATATGCAAATGTATGGATCAAAATAAAATGCAAGTAGGTCTAATCATTTTCTCAAACTATACATGTCTAAACTAAATGGTACACTGGAAGAGAAAGTCCACCTTATATGGGTGCTGAGAGTTAAACACACGTACATATTTTGATATCTATTAAATGCTGACCCAAGTCATGGCAAAAAGTAATCTGAAAGCTAATTGTGTTCAGAAGAGGTCGTAATTGAGTCCATATTTCTTCTTTACATTAGTTCTTCACAAAGTAGTCAGATATAAACTGGACATTTACCTCTAGGAAATCACTTTGATATTAGAAAGAGTGAAAAAATGCCATTAAGAGCTCTTGGAAATTCTCTCTGACCTCTGACGTTAGATTGAGCTACAGTGGATTGAGTAAATTCTAGAGTTTCTAAAATGTAGGGATACTCTGCTCTTCTGTGAACCAAGAAAATGTTTTCAGTCTGCTTCCTGCTCTGTCTGAAGTGTTATACAACAAGCATTCTACTAGCATAAAAAGTGCCTTGAATGTTTTGTTGCAAATCTGTAAAGTACTTCTCGGCACTGCCCTTGTCTGGGAGCAAACGGTTGTACTGAAAATGAAACGTAAATTCATCCAATCTACTCTCTTGTGGTCAAGATTCTCTGGATAATTTTAAGTTCCATTAAATCACTGGTTTTACTAGAAGTAAAATTCCACTACATTTCATTTAGTTTCTTTTCATGTTTTCCCTTAAGTTTTCTGATACGCACTATGCACTCTTAAGGCAGTAAGTAGGAAAAATGCACTATGAAACTGCTAAATTCTAGACATTAAATTGTTCAGGTTAATAGTGCTTCTTTATTAGTGGAAAGTATGTTTCATGCCCACAGAACACTACATAGCATAAAATGAAGATAAAGCTACTAAAAAAGCTCAAGATGGTGATGGGGACATGCACTAAACGGCAACCCTTTCAAATGGCTTCATTTGAAACATTCAGGAAAAAAAAACAAAAAACAAAAAACTAGACTTGCTCACGAAGCCAGAAACAGAGATCAAAAGGCAGCAAATAAACAAGGACCCTTTCCACCTATGGGAACTTGTATTGGGAGATACAAGATAGAGAGCCAGTCACACTACAGTATTTGTATGTGCTGGGAGAGTTTGAAAAGGATATAAAATTAATTTATAAAATACCTAAAGTATGGTCCTTCAGTGTTTTTATTCACATCTTCTACCCACTTAGCTACATTATAGTCTCTTTTGAACCATGGGTTTAAATACCTGCAGAAAGCAATGGAAGGAACAAAGAAAGCAGAACAAGATAGAAAATCTGAAAATACACAGCACAAGCTTAGCAAGGATGTTCTTCACCCTCCAAATGCAAGTGACTATGGCAAATAAACCAGGATGGATGTTGGGTGATTATGAGGCAGTCTGTACAATGACATGAGAATAAACTCAGCTACAACAAGGCTCGAGGCATTCTAGAATGTATTCAACATTGCAGGGAAAATCTTTCCAGTGGTTTCCCCAAGTGGATCAGAAGCGGCCTTCCAATCATAGTACTGTCAGTAATCTCATTCACCCACCTCCAAAGTGGCTTTTTCCAGGCCACCTCTCATTTGGTTCCTTGGTTTTCAAATGATAACGATGCTTTTTGAGAATATTCAGATGGCTGCAATTCCAACCTGGTGTTTGGGTATATAATGCCCCAAGAACAATTAAAAGGAGCAAAGTTCTCTTTCCAGTATGAAAAAAAGACTTTACAAGGCCTTGGTCTCAGGGTCTCACTCCAGACAGCAGATCTTAAGCTGGAGTTAACAAAGATAGGTGCCTCAGCCGGCTCTATCAAGAGCAGACAGGGCCCCTGCTCTTCTGATCCTGGAACCCCAAAACACATTAAGTGTGGTCCAAACAGGCCTGCACGACCTTTAAGTTGGGCTCCGCAATTTTAGTTGTAGCTGCAAAACTCCTTCCTTTTCTTCATGCACTCCAGACTAAAGTGTTCATGTTTCCATTAGCAAATGGACCTCAGAAGTTGCCTTCTGAGTGTCTGATCATGAACTTGTGTGAGTGACTGCCAGAGGATACTAATGACCTTAATTAGCATTTCCATGATGGATCTGGCAAAATCTCCATCAGAATTACTGTGCAAAGGAAAATGTAAAAAGGTGGTAAAACTGGGAGTCCAAGTCTGTTTTTGTTTTTGGGGGGTTTCCCCCCGCCCCCCCCCACTAGAGTTTTCTTTGATTTTTACTCAGGGGGCCAAGCAAAAACACATCCTCTTTAGAATGTGCCCTTGTAAAATAAATACAGATTCAACAAATTCAGTGTTGGAATCATCTGCAGGTTCTACTGAGTTTTCTCATTTAAAAAGTAACTCCTAGAGATACTATAGATAACGAAGATGCAAGCTCCATCAAATTTTGCAAGTCATTTGGAAACAAACCAAGGGAAAGGTAAAATACACTATTTGTTTGGGGTTAAACTTTGCTTCTTTCTACCATGTTTGGTTTCAGTTCGTAAATACACTGAAATCATGACATTTCCAGACATATAAACAAAAGTAGATTACTTTTTCCATAGTCCTTTCCTCATTTTTAGCTGTTATAACCAATGAAGTTCCCTCCTAAGAGAAGGGTTTGGTTGCCTTTTATGGCTGTAAGACCATTTTTGCTAAGACAGTGTTCCCTGACTCAGGAACAATTTCACACTAGTTTTGCCTTTAGCCACAATCATTGCCAACTTGCACTTTTCACAGAGATAGCCAATTAAAACTTGCATAAAAATTTCCACCGAGACTTTGAACAAAAAGAAAATGTCAAAAAGCAAGTGCAGCCACAGATGAAGGCTAGTGAATGCTCTGGCCTGGGGAAAACCGTAGAAAAAGCCCATGCAGCTGTTATCAGGTGAAACATAGCCACACAGCAAACTGAGTCACCCACAGGCAGCTTCCAGGAGGAGACGTGTGTTCCTTTCACCGACAATCTTAGAAGCTCAAAGGACTGACGCCATGGCTGTTCCATGATACCTACAGCTACATGGCTTGGCTTGTACATGATGGACCTTTTTTTCCATTTCAAGGAGCATCTCAGAAGGCTGTGATCACTTCACTAGAGGTCACTGAAGAGACCTCTCAAAGGTTGTTCCTTTCTGGGGATCCACCTGTTAAAGTGTCTTCAAAGTGGGCTTCCTAGCATCTCTAGGTAGCGGTGGTGGAAGTGATGAGAGTTTATCAAACCGCTATAAACCTGCCTATGTGGCTTGACTTGGCTTGTAGCGCAACATGCAAAAAAATGCGTTAGACAGGGTAGGAGAGCTCTTTGTGTTCTCCAGGATGGAAAGGCAGAGGAAAATTAGCTTGTGCTGGCTGGACCAGGACCATGTCCAAGCAGACACTGGGGGTCAGTCAGAGATCAAATGACCCCGTTCTCAGCCAAGGAAGGGACTAGGAGGGAGATTAAGTGGCAGCCCAGAATGAAGGGGCAGGTGGAGACTGACCTGTGATCCAGACTCCCTGTCTGGGGGCTGTCAGAGCCCCCTGGGCTTATGCCTTGGGATGGGACTGTCTGGGCGAGGGAGTGCCCAGGCTCAGGTGCTTGGGGCTCCCTCCTGTAAAAACACAATATATAATACAAAGTCTAAGCCAAAACCTTCTTTTCACAGCATGTACAACAGTGAGGAAGATGCAAAAACGTTGAGTGTCAAAACAATACAATAAACAAGGACATTTTATGTTGTTAATTAGTAGGGTATGCATTTGTGGTGAATGCTTTAATTCATGTCCTGATGTTTTATCATCCCTGGGGATGATGGGTACTAAAGGGGATGTGGAAATAATGAACCTGATGATACCTTTTAACCTAAAAAATAAAAAAAAGGTATGTTTGTCTGTGGTCATTCTGCTCCTCTTGTAGTCCCACAAATTATATTGTTGTATCAGAAGCAAGAGGGATTATTTAACGAATATGGAAAGGTATAAAAAATGACTGTCAATGTAATTCCTAAGATGCTACATATTAGGATTCCTTTTAAGAAAAAACAAAATATGTATGTATATAGTGCCCATACAACAAGGTATGTGAGAATAGTGGTCAACTTCACAGGCTTGGTTCCATTTAATTAATATGAGTCATGTAACCCAAATGCAGAAAGTGAAAAATCTGAGGGAGTCATTACTACTTTTTCTTACAAAGGTGATTCCACTATGACGTCTTATTAAATATTATAGCGTTATCTCACAGGCAAGAGATTTATTAAGGGCTATCTAGTATTATAATTTTTATCATATGATATGAGCGGGAATTCTACAGAAAATTTTTTCAAAATAAGTGACTGCACTAGCAAATATTGTATGAATCTTGCTAAACACCAAGTGCTGTTTGGGTCCTAAACACATAGCTTTACTATGAGGTTGATCTATTTCCACTCGGGAGTTTTCAAAGCCTTATTATAGGAAATATCATTAAAATGCTAACCAGCACACAAAGGAAGTTCTGAAGAACACTTGACAGTTTTATCTGTATTCTTGTGAGCAACTGAGATGAGCTAAGGAGCTCTTACCAGGTGACCTCATGCAAAACAAATCAAACAACATTCCAAGAAGAGTTTATCCACAATGAGCCCTAAAGCATCCAAGCGCTTTGGGAAATGTTTAAGATAAACTCTAACAGATTAGTTTTTTATGATGGAGTTCTATGATGCCATTCTGGACCATGCAATGGTATCACTTAAACCTATATTTTGTTTCTAAGGTAAAGTGTCCTCTAGCAAACTTTGACAAGCCACTTACAAGACAATACCATCAGCAGGAAGGTCCAAATTTCAGGGCACTGTTATTATTCCTGGACTGAAAAAGGCAGGGTATATGATGGAAAAGCTAACATAAGTTTCTGACAAGCAGTTAACAAATACCTGCTATTCAGATTTTTAAGGTATTAAGGCATGAAGAAGCAATAGTGATCCTGAAAACAATAACTAGCACTATAGTGAGAAATAAGTTAAAAAAAAAAAAACTTTAGGTAGGTCAAAAAAGTACAGTTAATGAAAACCTGGTGGCAAGGAAGTTCCAGAAGCATACCAAGGGTGTGTTTTATTCCTCGACGTCAGGTTTGAGGAAGCTTACTTTTGCTGTACTTTCTTAAGTGAAGAAACAAACAAAAACAGTGCATGGTGTTTACCTCATTAGAAGTAACTTTAAATGTAACTTGTGATCCCACCCCCCACTTAAAAAAAAAATGTGTGGCTATCATTTAAAACGGACAGTGTTGCACTTAGTGACAATGATTCCGTTAAAGAGCAAGTTTTGGGTAAGTGCCCTTTTAAATGTCCTCAGAAGGAAGATTTAAAAGGGAAGTGTATTCCATTAGTCTGAGAGAATGCTTAGATTGCAGCCATGAAGCCCTCGGAGCGGTGGTTTCACACTGGGAGCAGTATCATGCTCAAGGACGGTGGGAATTTCCCCCTGATGCTTCTAGGCTGTGTGAATACTGGGAAGAGGAAGGGTGACCCCTCTGGAATGGCTGGACCCCGGGTGATGAGAAGAAAGGAATGTTATCAAAATTCCCTTCAAAAGGAACCAAGACACCACAATGGCAGGTTACTGGAGGAAAAAGCCTGCAGCGAGGGTGGGAACCCCGCTAGCAGTGAATATTGGTTTGGGCACAGTTGCGGAGATGCCTATGTAAAAGAGAAAAGCCATGGTTAATTTTAAAACGGCAAAAAGGAATTAAAAAGACAAAACCAAGACCAGAGGCATGGTTTACAGTTCTTTGATGATCTCGTTAATTAACTTTTCACACTAATTGCATAGGACCTTGGAATGCCTTTTTCCATTAGAGGTGTAGACTTACTCAGTTGAATTAGACCGAGGTCTAAATCTTTTGCCTCTGATTTTCTTTCTGTTGCCTCCCACGTTACCTGAAAAAGATGGTTTATGGCTAGATTCGCATATAAATGAACAACTGCAATATGTTTAATCACACAGTATTTCAAGTGGTAATATTCCCAGCCAGTCCCACCCAGAACACAGGGCTGTATAGCACATACAGCCTTCTGAGTTTGTCCAGAGCCCTGGTACTAGTGAATCCCATCATTTCTCAACCAAGAAAAAAAGACATGGACTTTCATAACAAATGCCCTCATCTCTGTTGGGAGAAGAGCTAAAGAGCTTACAGGAAAGAACAAATCTTTACAACCAAGAACCACAAAATGTAAAATTTGGGTTCTGCAAACAGACACACTAGCTGTTCAAAATGCCACCCTCTACCTTGCCAAGAGTTACTTCGAGGTCGTCCATTTTCACAGATGTCTGAAATGTGTTTTGTGTCTGGGATCCTTTCACTCCAAGAATGAGAAAGCCCATTAGACCTGAAATTGAAAATGTATATATACTGTTCAAAAATACAATCAAGTGAATGCTTTAAAATCAGTAAGCAAAATCTCTAAGCACTACTGTGCATTAAATAAATCAAGAAAGAAAAAAATCTGAAATGAAAGAATGAAGAGAACATGAAAGTCTTCATGAAGAAGGCAGAATTACACAACATTCAATGTAAGAAAAGTCAAATACAATGGAACCCCATTACAATAGTTTATAGTTGAAAAGTATCAGCACACAGTGCAAGCCAATCACATTGACAGCAACCACATATAGCAAATTCACTACATATTTCAGCTATATAACTGGAGCAGAAGAGTTATAATGGGGTCCCACTATAGATGTTTCTTAACTGTAAAGCAATGGTTTTCATTCAAATATTATGAGAACATGGACTTCCAAGAGATTTCACTAAGATCTGTTCAACTGAACCTAGTCAACCTTTACCAAAGTAACATTCAGGTTTTTTTAAACAATAAAACTATTTTCTGAGAATTGGCATTTTCCCCACAAATACGGCCACCTCAAAATGTAGTGTTGTTAGTTAACTGTCCAATAACTGAACTAAATCACATGTTTATGCTGGAAGTATCTCTCACAAAGCCCATGTACCATGATGCCCTTGTGCTATCTGTGTCCTGCCATCTTAAATAAACTGTCTACAGAAGCAAAATTCATACACCTACCACATAAGAAAAGTATTTTGACACACTATATATACTTAGGAAGAGTTACATAATTTGATACCATTTTTAAATGCTTAAAAGCCATAACCCATTTTTCTAAAATCTGGGAATTATTCAAGTCAATATTTTAAGTTCTTCTTGAGACATATTAGAAAATAGCACTATGCTTAAAATATTTTCCATACGTCATTCCAGTTAATCACTAATAAACGTCTATTTTAAAAGGAATCTTCTACAGATGAATGAAAATAAATGGAACTCAGCACAATTATTACATATTAATTCCCCAAATTAGGATTTTTGCAATGTAAATTTGCTAATTATAGAATGAATCTTATTTTGTACAGAAGGACAACAGAAATTCCACTGGAATACATTGATTTCTCTGCTTATTTACCATCTTATTTAATTTAAAATTAAATATGTGACCAAGAAAATATATACAGGCAGAATTTAGATCTTATTCTCTTAGCCAAAAAAATTCCCAATATGTTAAAAAAAATAAAAATTTGGGGCATCTTATAGATTTGTACTCCTTTTGCAAAAACTAGCATTTTTACTTTTGCTCTAAGCTATGTTATCTGAGTAAAAACAATCCTTCATGCTTAAGATAGTTCTACATAAAGAAGAGTTCCCAGATTTACTGATTCTTTCTTTTCTCCTTTGTGATTGTTACTGAGTGAAATCCATTGCAGAATTTTTACAGATGATTCACTTATTTAGAATTCCAGAAGAGATCACATTTCTTCTAAACAAACTAGAAATTTCCACTTCAGTCTACAAAGTAAGTACTGTGCCCAAAGTAATGTACTGGGCTATCAAAATTTTTTTTTCTATATATTACAACCAACAATATTAAAGAAACTTTTCCACAGGAGTATTTTAGCTTCCTTGAATGTGAATGGAGGTCTAATTTCCTAAAACATTTCAACTATTTATTTCTTCTACCAGTTTATTTCATTAAGCAATTATAAAGCATGCAGAATTTTAACTGGTCTTATACATCTTAAGATCCTGGATAAAGAATATAAGATCAAAGTTTAAAACATATAAATAATATATTAACCCCATTTGTCCTATTATAAAACTCAGGCAAATATATTTAAATATACTTAAATTAATTTGGCAACCAAGCTCTAAATTAGAAAGTCTAGAAATAATCATTCCAGGAATAAAAGGCAAAATCATAATATTCAAATATACAATTCACAGAAAAGCGATCTTTTTTTTTTTTTTTTTCACAGCAAGCTTAGCTTTGGTATATTTAAAATTTTTAAATATTCAACGCAGCACTTATATTACCAACTTAACAACTGCTTTACGGAAGCATGACAGTAACCTTTTTCTTTGACTACCAAACATGACATAAAGCTCACCATTTAAAATATTATCACATACTATGAATAGTTTCTCAAGCCATATAAGAGCAAGATTGAAAAACCCTATGATTTCTATATAGATTTAGGATTGCTGTTCGTTTAGTTCAGTTTTGTTTTGATTTCTGGCCTGATTTGTTTGAGTGGTTCTGAGCATATGGCATTTTGAAGCACAGTAATCAAAGAACAAAGGATACTATTTGTTAACATTCAAGAAAGAAGGAAGAAGTAATCAAACCTGCTGCAAAATAATGAAATGTTCTGACTAATGGAATAATGTGTGATGGAACAGGCAGAAATCTGAAAATGCGACAGAAAAGCAGACCTCTTCTTAGAACTAGATGCTGAGTTTGTGCTGATTCCGGGAGGAATGTCGCTATAAAAAGAGTCACCATCTCCAGGCTTTTTTACATAATCTCCCTGGGGTAACTGTCTAAGGCATAATAAACATTTCAGAGTCAGAAAACAAGACACACACATGAACACAGACATATACAAATATTATTTTAGGAAAAAAAGAGGTAGGGGTAATGATCTACATGAACCAAATCTATAACAACACATAAGATTATTAATAAATGTGACAAGTTTAAGTAAGTCATTCTAACTGCCAAGGTCAGAAATGCAATCACTTAAGTCTTTACAGTCTGGATGAATAAAGCCTTGCTTCAGGGGAAAACTATGGAAAGATGAGGTTTTTCATTGTAACTTTATTATACTTCAAGATGTTAACTGCGGTTTTGTCTGAAAATAAATAAATAAATAAATAAATAAATAAATAAATAAATAAATAAATGGTGCTGAAGGAGACATGTCGGGAAAGACAGTCCCTGCCCCTCATAAGGCATAGTTTTGTTTTTCTTTTGTTTACTGTCATGAATAAACTACTTATGATTTCTAAATGTGATATAATGTAACCTTAACTGGTCTTCAAATAACAGATTAATTTCTAAGCCAGGTCTATAATTTAATCCAAGTAAATTCTTATTAATCTGTTCAATTTGGAGTTTCACTGTTCATTTAAGAGGAATATGAAGAAACTGAAAGAGATTCAAACATCAATCAACAATGTAATTCTATAACTGCACAGGAGAATATGTGAAGGAAGATGATTTAGCAAGAGGAAGAAGGGGTTGAAAACAATTCTTGTTGAGACTATAGGAAGATATTTATAGGGAGTTGGTGGGTGACCTCAGTTCTCTGTCTCCACCATAGAAGGATTACAACAAAGGAAGATCTACTTACTCTGTACTATTACTGACCCCACTTGCTCTGATTTTGAATTAACTACGATTAAAACAGATTTTTATTACTTTTCCTAAGGGAGGAGGGTAGAAAACTATAGAACGGACCACTCAATCTCAATAACCAATCATCGGCCAGTGCATGGACCGCAAACAGCCATGTGCATCCAAAACTTGATTCAGTTCCATTCAGAATCATTGTGGGAGGTGCCACAAACTGGTGCTGGATTGAGAATTTTAAAAAGAATATACTTAAAAAGGTGTCCAACGAAGGCCACAGTTGCTAACTGCTTTTCCTACTTGGTCTTTCCTTAGTTACCATGCTTACCTTGGTTACTTGCTGATGCTAAATTCTATTTTATTTTTTTTTTTTTCTATTTAAAAATTTTTTTTTAATGTTTATTTATTTTTGACAGAGAGACAGAGCATGAGCGGGGGAGGGGCAGAGAGAGAGGGAGACACAGAACCCGAAGCAGGCTGCAGACTCTGAGCTGTCAGCACAGAGCCCGACGCGGGGCTTGAACTCACAGACCGCAAGATCATGCCCTAAGCCGAAGTCGGATGCTCAACCGACTGAGCCACCCGCCCAGGCACCCCTATATTCTATTTTTAAAAAATGCTACTTTCAGATATTTGCCTTGCTTGTACTAATTCCCATTCTGTTTAAAATGTTTACAATACTGGATCATTCGCTCTTCGGAATGACTGAATACTTCTCTCATATTTTTTCAATCCTATATACTCACACACCTCCATAAATTAAATTTTCAACCCATACAAAGCACATATAATAATTTATGTGATCCTCCCCGTCAAAGAAAGTCAAATTTCTCATTAAATTTGTATGTAAGACTAATTTTACCTATAACTCTATGACACATATTCCTTCAAAATATTTTTAACCCCTTACGTGACTTCAGCTCATAATTATAACCTTTTTTCTTTTTCCCAGTATATTACGAAACATTAATTTTTTATAAGAAATAAGACAATTTCCCCATATTCATAGTGTTAATAAGACAGGGGTGGCTGGGTGGCTCAGCCACTTAAGCATCCAACTTTGGCTCAGGTCATGATCTTATGTTGGGCTTTGTGCTGACAACTCAGAGCCTGGAACCTCCTTGTGAGTTCAAGCTTTGCATCAAGACCTGTGTTGACAGCTCAAAGCCTGGAGCCTGCTTTGGATTCTGTGTCTCCCTCTCTCTGCCCTTCCCCTACTCATGTGCACTCTCTCTCTCTCCCAAAAATAAACATTAAAAAATTATAAAAATATAGTAATACAGGACAAATGATATATATTCTTATTCAAGAGATCTTTAATCTCTGGAATCACATTTTCTGCCTTGCCTCCTTTGAGTAAAATATTCTATCAATGCTCAAAAAAAATGATCTCAATAAAAGCAGAGCTCTGTATGTCGTCTCAGGGAGGAAACTTTCCTTTTGGATATTAATATTATAAAAGAATGCCAAGGAACATCCATCAATATCACATTTCCAATAATAATCCTTATGGTTAAATCCTTTTCATCATTATTACCTTTAATGATCATCTGTATAAGTTGATGAGATGTAACTCACTACAAATTAAAAAAAGACAAGTTCCAAATCCACTTGAATTTTCCCATTAATCTATCCCCTAAATTACCTTCTCTTTACATGGTTCTAGCATTTGTGCATTTACCCAGGGCTCACTTAGCTGATCATTCAGGCTTAAATGGACTGTCTCTCATGATGGATGGGCTTAGATTTGTTGTTGGTTTGTTGTTGTTGTTTTAACTCTGCACATTTTACCACTCCTTCAACATAATTCCTCTGCAGTGCATGGTCATCTATCACACAACGCACAAAACTCCTAAATGCCAAATATATCATAAACTGTGGGCTTCAGTCAAGGGGCTGGAAGGAAGTTCAAGTACAATGAACTTCTGGGGCATGGCCTTGTTGTTATCGTGATGGGCAGATTAGATTCTTACCTACCTCTATTAGGAAGACTCCAAAATATAGACGCTACTCTGCATTCCCCTTACAATTCCATAAGGAATGCATGTAACTTTCTTCACATATTAAATGAATGAAAATGTTAATTATAAATTAAGAATTTTGTTAAATCTCTTAAGAATAATATTTAACATTCTTCATTGCCCAGAAATTCATCCTTAATCAATATCCATAACAGATTATAACAAACTGATTTCTTCTTGCTTAAACTTTAGTGAAGATAGAGAGTATCAGGTCCCCATGATCAATGAAATAATATTTCATCATTTGTTACATAAGATCATAAGTGACCAGCTAAGTGATTCTTTAAAAAATTTTAACTGAATTTATTTTTCTAGTCTTTGTGACTTTCTTCTTAAATTTTGCTCATTTCATGGAATTTTGAATCAAGAAGTGATTACTACATTAGGTGGCCTGACCAGTGCCAAGTTTTGTAATGGGAACATTATCTCATGTTTCCCACATTACATGCAAATATTGTAGACTTGCGCATGAATTTTTATAAATAATGCCCAAAAGAAAATAAAAGTTTATTTAACTAAATTCTTTTTCCTCAAGAAGGAACCCTCTTATGAGGGAAATCTGGTATTTCTTTAAAGGGTCCATTGAACCATAATATTTAATTTAATAATCCTTACACAGACTCAAAATGAGAATACAATGAGAAAAAATAAGTCTTAACCTTCATGCTGAAGGAGGCATTTCTCCAATGTTTTGTTGGTACCTGGGTTGTCTGATATTGGAATTGTTACTTTACTGTTTTAAGAAATATTGTGTAATGTGTACCAAGTCACATTGACAGATGCATGAATGTTACCGAAATAATAATAATAATAATAGTAATAATAATAATGTAAAAACAAATTAAGATAGGTTTGAAAAAAATGAGGGAGGGTGGTTCACAAGCAGAAAATAAACTGGTTAAAAAGGATGAGAGAGGAAAGAAGTGGGGAAAGGGGTTTCTGCTTAAGGAATAGATCAGGAAGATATGATCTAGTTATTTATTCTATTTCACATTAATTATAATGATGTGTGTTCATTTCAGACAAAGGAAGAAAATATTTCAGCTCACTATGGATGTCTCATAAATCCAAGTTCAGATTAATGTTTTCTTATTCTATTGCTCTTTGCAAACCTATCTGAAAACTAAAGCTCAAACTTGTAATTCTTGTTACAAAGTATACAGATGCTGGGGCACCTAGTTGGCTCAGTTAGTGAAGCTTGAGACTCTTGATCTCGGGGTTATGAGTTCGAGCCCCCTGCTGGGTGTAGAGATTGCTTAAAAATAAAACCTAAAAAAAAAAAAAAAAAAAGTATACAGCGGCTAAATCCTAAAGCAATTATGCTAAAAATGTAAGTGATAGCATCAACTGAAAATATTATGGAAGTCTTCTTCCCTGAAGATTTTAAAGAAAAAGATCAATAGCCATCTATCCAACCACATGATGTGTAAGAACTCTCGGTGGCTCCTAGGTTACATGGTTCTACCCTTCACAAGGTAACATTAGCAGATTTAAACTAATATCATTCATGTATTGGGTTCTGCCTCTACTGTGTCCCAGAATAGGGTTCTATTTTTTATTAAGCAGTTTGTAAACAAAAAGAAAACAATGGGTTTGCTTCACATCTTTTTGCCAGACCTGCTATTAAACCTATCATGCCAAGTTATCAAGCTCCTTCACAGAAGTACTTGCCTGACCTCTCCAAAAATTTGAAAGTTATGCCCAATGGCATTTCTAAGCCATTATATCATTAGTAAGAATCTGATAACTAGCTACATATTTAATATGGTCTTGCATTTAGTGTCAAAGCAAACCTTTATGTTCGCGAATACCTATACCAGGTCAACCAGTATGTGTGGGTCTCATTCATATCCATGAATGCTGCCTTTCTCTTTGAGAATAACCACATCCACCTCCTTTATTTGAAGATCAGAAAAACACAAAGCCTCCAGAGATCACATACTAATAACTTCCCTTGCGATAATGCTTTATAGATTACAAAGAACTTTATCTGGTTTTAAAGTTGTGGAAAGTTTAAGTGATTTCCCAAGACCACATCCTAGCAAGTGGATTTCTGATTTCTTGCCAATTGGTACGCTCACCATGGAACCTCAGAGGAAAACCTACCTTAAAGGCAAGGATGACTCAAAATTCTTATTCCTATTTCCTGGCATCTTTTAGAACTGGACACATCTTTATTTGAATCCCTGACAATATTTTTATGAGACTATAACTTTCTTAATGCATGCTTTGTTCCATTCACCTTACCACCTGCTCTGTAACCATTGACAAATATTCTCAAAAAGGAAAGTCCTTCAGAAGATATTTATACATTTACGACTTGCTGATCTAAAGTCCACTGTTTGCTACTTCTCCACTTTGAGGATTATTATACAAGGCCTAAGATTCATTAGCAATGGACAGGGCAAAAATAAATAAATAAAATTTGTGATGAAACATATCAAAATACATAAAATAAATATCTGTCGAAGATGTGACAGCTCTCAAAATAATGAACTAGATTCCAAAAAAGTAACCAGATCGACAAAATGATGACTCAGTAATACCAGGAGGCATGAAATTTTATCAGACACATAACGAAAATTCTTAATGTAAAAATGTTAACTGTGCCTAAGCATATATTGAGATAGAATAAGAAACTGGTACACAGTTTTGCCTATGAATAGTTTTTTGTACCGTGGGCAATCCCTAATTCTGGATAATACTCTTGGTGAGAATGTGTCTTGGAGCACTGGTTTAGGTTTGCTTATGTTACACAGTAGTGACATTTTACTTTCTATCTTATATAGCTAGCAATATTAAATTACTTTAGAGTCTTAGCTACTATGGAAATGAGGCTGGGTCATCAATATTTGATCTTATTAGTCTAATTTTATGTTTCATTAGAGAAATCCACCAAACTTAGATTTCAATGTGACTGATCAAATTCTACCCAATAGAAAGCTTAAATGATTCCAGCTCTTCTCCTGTAGTTCCAGACAGTAGAATTTTAAACATATCAAAACGAAATCTAGTTTTTAAAACTTAATTAATTTTGTCTAGGTTTACCTTTTACATTAATGATGAGTTAGTTTCCCAGAGCAAGGTGAATATTTTCTATTATCGCTAACTGACCAAGATCTGCCTTGTGAGCACATTTATAGAGACTATACTAATGGCTAAAGTCTTCTAGGAATTTTAAATTATAACATGGAAGGAAACCAAATGAAAAAATGAAATCTGGTTGGGGAGTGAAAACGTGTTATCACATTTATTACTTCTTATTTCCAATCTGCCTCTGACATTTAATGGAACAGTGGGGAGAGTTATGTAGGAACCTGCATAGATATCTTAAGCACAAAACTAGTACTATGTGATGTGCAAGACCTGGTCTGACTCATCTATTTCCAGGATATTTAAATGTTTTTATTGGGGCGCCTGGGTGGCTCAGTAAGTTAAGCATCCAACTTCAGCTTAGGTCACTATCTCGTGGTCAGGGGATTTGAGCCTCACTTCCAGCTCTGTGCTGACAGCTCAGAGCCTGGAGCCTTCTTTGGATTCTGTGTCTCCCTCTGTCTCTGCCCCTCCCCTGCTTGCGCTCTGTTTCTCTCTCTCTCTCTCAAAAATAAATAAACATTAAAAATTTTTATAAATAAATAAATAATTTTTTGTATCAACAGCTAAGAACATTAATAATTTTTTAAATGTGAAAAGTGAAGGAGATATCTCAGTATGGACTAATTTAGATTTAGAAAAAATAGGCATTTTTTTAAAACTACATGAATGCTTTGTATCTCTTTTTATTCTGTTAGCTAAACACAGATTTTAAGGTTATGATGAATAGGGGTACCTGACTTTATGGGCTTTTATATTTATAAAAAAAGTATACTAGACAATCTGAGATTCTAATAATGCAAATCATTTCTTTACCTAGGCAATTACCTAGTCAGTACAAAAATATTTTCTTAGGCAGAGATAATCAGGCCCATTAAGTACTAGGACATTCTCCTGAACCCAACACTGTGCCCACAGAAATGTTATCATTTATGAATGGAAGTTACTAATACAACAACAGTAACAAATAACAAATAAATTCCTTTATAAAGTACTAGGCAATAAGCTTGTTTAAAAGATGAAGAAAAGCCAATTAATTAATGTAAACACAAGTGGTTCCTTAACATAGAGGAAGTTTGTTTTAGATGGAAAAAAAATTCAATTCCACATATATTACTATAAAGGTAATAGAAGTAACTGCTATTACTGTAGTATTGTTGGATGAAAGAACCATTAAAATTAAACAATAGGTCTATTTTAAAGTAATACATTCCTCAGCACCATTATTAAAATTATCATTTCAAGGTCATGGAAAACAAGATTGCTTTATCATTTCAACACAAAAACAAAGTCAACCTGATTTATAACTGCATGTATAAATTCCAAGGATGCTAACAGGATTTAAGCTTTTCAGTTATATGTTCAGGTTATTCTCATCACATACCTCTGTTCTCGATAATTTCTTTTCATGGACAAGAAGAAAAGGGGGGGAAAAAAAGAATTAGTTACCTATGGAAGTACTTTCAGAGAGAGCACTAAACATAAAAGCTCTAACACTCATCGAAAGGTCTCTACAAAGGATTTTGAATTGCAGAACTAAAATGAGTAATACAGTCTCTCTCTTTACACACACACACACACACACACACACACACACACTTCATCTTTAGAAATGATACCAATGGATTAGTGACAATATTTTCAAATAACTATTTTTAAAAGCATAAATAAGCTTCAGTTATTAGAAAAATAACTGTCTTCTCAATATCAATTGTACCATATTTAACATTTAGTAATGCTCTAAAGTCAATCTTACTCAACTTACTTATATAAACTAACTGTGCTTCCATAGAAATAAAACTCATAATTCATTCCTTTTGGAATCTATACCTGCAAATTAAAGCTCTTCCTAAGAATTTCAATCCAATCCAATACATATCTATCTAATCCAATACATATATTGGCTTTTTTAAAAAAATTTTTAATGTTTACTTATTTTTTGGAAGCAGAGAGAGACAGAGCATGAGTGGGAGAGGAACAGAGAGAGAGGGAGACACAGAATCCAAAGCAGGCTCCAGATTCTGAGCTGTCAGCACAGAGAGCTGGGGGCTCGAACTCATGCGGGGCTCGAACTCATGAACCATGAGATCATGACCTGAACTAAAGTCAGATGCTTAGCTGACTGAGCCACCTAGGCACCCCAAGTATCTTGGTTTAATGATGAGCTCATGAGAGTAAAAGTTCCAATTTGTTACTTATGATTTTTCATTCTTCAAACCACTGGATAGTGGGGGAGAGAATAAGCTCCAGAATTTTTCTATTCAGTATGTTTTAATTTTATTGCCTCAGTGTGATGACGTGAGTGGTCTATCAGTTCCAAGTGAGTATTGCTCATTGCCTATTCCTGCCATTCCTTCACTCCAAGGCTTGGAGAAGGGGTAGAAAGTTTAATTGGAAGGATTAATGAGGAAATGAATTCTCACGTCCTACATCCATCTTTGAGTTTCAAATAGAATATGAAATTCATGAATTTAATTCCTGTATTAAAACTTAGACATTCTCTTTCTATTCTTAAACATATTCTGAATAAGTTTAGTAGCATTAAAACTTCCATCATTTATGTTCAAACTATTTATGAAGAGGACACAGTTGTATGAATAAGATTGGTATTTTTCCTTAGTGAATATGCAAAGTACAAATATTCAGAAACGGAAAAAAACAGTGAAATCTCAAAAGAATTTCATAAAAATAAGAAGTGATATAAAGAAATAAGTATTTTAATTCTAATTATTAAAGCAAAGGTAATTTCATTAGCAATAGGAGAAGTTTAGATTTCATATTTTCTGAAAAGTAATTTTTTTCCAAGATTGCAAAAACATGAAATACCAATTTGCATCAGTAGGTGGCAGAAAATTGCACACAAAAGAACTAATAATTTTGCTTTCCCCTTTTCACATGACCAATGAAACCCCTGAGCTACTTCAAGAATGCAAAGCTTCTGATGACAATTGCCACATAGGTCTTAAATCAGGGAAGGTGAGGAAACAGTGTTACTCCAAGATGGGGCTGATTCACCTGAGGTGTGAGGCAAGATCAAACAACAAATACACAGAAAAGCCTTCCTTTCAAACAAGGGATTTTACAACTTCTAATGTTATGCTGAAATCTTGTGCAAATGTAAGTATGCGATATATCTGATGGCCTGCACATCAAAAAGGCCCATAGGTAGTGAGCATGTATGAGCCGGTACAGAGCTAGGTTCTCATTTAATCAAGGCAAAGCATTCCTACTGTGCTGTGCCCTCCTTCACTGGTCTAGGCTGTATTTACTATGCTGTGCTGAACTACATACTATGCTGTCTGGGTTGCTTGTTAATATAGCCTTCCACAAATGCCTTCTATATTTTAATGCCTTTAGCATATAAACTTTACCGTGGCAGTAAGTTAAATGTTTTCCATCAAAGAAACTCTTCCAGAGTTTTGACCTCAGAAAGAGCAACAGCCATGTAACGCTTTTAAAGAAATTTCCTTTAACTCAACTGGTTTAAGACTATGTCAGGTAATAATAATAGTAATAGCACATAATTATATAGTGCCTAGCCTACTGAAAGGCTTGGGGTAATTTGGAAGCCTAAACTATTCTAATACCCAAGTCTTTCAGTGAACTAAGTTTGGTCTATGAGGGCAAAAAGGTGCTAAAATGCGGTAATGGCCAGAATGCCTAGAAAAAATTGCAGGCCCTTCAAAAGGGAAAAGCCCCGTTGGCCCAGGGTGCTGAGACATCATCATCAGAGATCAGTAGAACTATGATTTTAAGTTGAAATATTAAACATAACTTAAGGTTCACCATATTTAAGTGTCAATTTGTTAAATTTAAATAAGTTACTTGAATACTAAGGAAATTTTTTACATCATAAGATGTACTTTAAAAGAAAGCTGAACATATTAAATATACAAACAAGTTTGGAATTTTTGAAGTCATTTACTCAGCTAAATGTGCAAGAAGATGCAGTATTCAAAAGTTATATAATTTATAACTTTTTAAAAATTATATATATGAAGTAAAAACTTGTAAATTGAACTTGGGAGCTTAAGCATTAGGTTGTAGGGGCACCCGGATGGCTCAGTAGGTTAAGCATCTGACTTCAGCTCAGGTCATGATCTCACGATTCGTGGGTTCAAACCCCATGTTGGGCTCTACGCTGACAGTGTGGAGACTGAAGCCTGCTTCAGATTCTGTGTCTCCCTCTCTCTATGACCCTCCCCACTCATGCTCTGTCTCTCTCAACAATAAACATTAAAAAAGGAATTAGATTGTAAAAGTTGTAACTTAAAGCTGAATTTTAATTTGAACAAATAAAATAATCTCTGAACAGTATTTTCTTCACACACAAAAACCCAATATTAACAAATAATAGTATCTCCTTCACACTGCCTACGAAGATAAAGAGGTTTTGTCCTTAGCAGGATGCAAGGCCATACCAAGTATGCAGCCAACTGATGTGCTGCTGCTGTTCTTGTCAATATTGATGTTATCACTGGAGTGGTTAGTAAAGCACTATGCTCCCTACATAACTATCTTGCCTAGATTTTTGGATATGGGTTTAAGTCAAAAGAACCTGTGTCATTAAAGAGCCAATCCACACAGCCTTAGTTTAAGACACGATTTAGATTGATTTCACTTCACACCATGGTTTTTAAAACAATATTCTTTACTTTGAGAATAGAAGGCAGTTATTTCAAAATCTATTTTCAAGAATAATAAATCATGATTACCTCTAATCATGCCAAGAATAATCACTGATTGCATGTTCAGCCAGAATGATTTTCACTGAAAATGCTACAAAACTTTCTAGATGTTTAATTCACTTAAACAAAATGTTTTAAAGTATATTTTGATAGTAACAATACTGAGACATTTCACTTACTTATAACCCCATGCAGTTATTCCTAATATGAGGGCCAGCACCAAGATAGTGCCAGCGATTATGCCTATTATGATATTGGTACCAGCAACACCTACAGGGAAAAAAGAAAACAATGAAGATCAAGTGTATGTAATTGAAATTTTGATACAAAGTTCTTTCAGGAACTTTATTCTCCATATTTGGAATCATGACACTAACGAAATTATTTGTTTTAAAAAGTGGGTATTGTTTTCTTTTACCGGTCTTAATGTTAGAGAATATTTTTTTTCATTTAATTTTTTTGACCTACAATTGATACGCTGTTGTAGTGGTTTCAGTTGTACAGCATAATGATTTGGTATTTGTACATACTGTGAAGTAAAAAAAAATGGGTGTTTTTTAAAAGGATAAAAAAATCAACCATTACTTAGCAATCCCCATCAACTGTTTTTTAAAAAATAATTCTTGGCTTACATTCCCTTTTAATTCTTGTCCCAGTGCGTTTTGCAGTTTTATTTTCCATGTAATTTTCTCAAAAATAAGATGAGGTCAATGAACTACAAGAAGAGTAAAGACTGAAAAAAAGGGAGGGTAAGGGTGACCCTACTATATTGCCATAGCACTCTCTGGACAAGAACTTGTAGAAATTCATGTTCTTTTTTACTCTGACCTCTTCCTCAGGAATTCCAGAGATGTTACAGTCTTTGTCTCTCCATCTTTTTTTTTTCAAGTTTATTTATTTTGAGAGAGAGAGACAGCACATAGAAGAGAGAAGAGAGAACATGAGTGGGGCAGGGGCAGAGAGAAAGAAAATCCCAAGCAGGTTCTAAGCACTGTCAGTGCAGAGCCCAAAGCAGGACTCAAACCCATGAACTGTGAGATCATGACCTGAGCCAAAATCAAGAGTCGGATGTTTAACTGAATGAGCCACCTGGGCGACCCCATGTCACTCCATCTTGACAACTAATGCAAAGTTCTTATTGCTCCCACTTGTACGTGTGATACATTGTCACTCATATATAAGCTCCTTAAGAGAGAAAACATGTCTACAGAGTTATACAATCAGTGCTCAGGTGATACAGGTAATACAAGCACCGGGCTTGTAGTTCCCAGTCTTTGTAACAATGGCTGGCATCCTAGAGAAGGAAAAACCAAAGATAGAGTGTAGTGAGCAGGAGATCAGTGCTGGTCAGGCATGAGAGTGAGGCAGCAGCAGACTGGCAGAGGGCCAAGACTGGGCTGACTCTCAGGACTCAGTAATGGCAATGTTGTGTCACCACCTGCTGTCAGATAGGCAGAGATGTAATCCATAGGGGAGATCATGTGGTGTGAGTGGCCCAGTAAGTCAAAGCCTTGGTCAAAATGCTCAAGTGACAGCCCAAGAGCAGAAAAGACAGATCAGAGGCCTGGCTGTTTTGCTGATAATGATCTACACCACACATTTCAATCACCCAGATCTGTTTCACTCAGAGCAGCTCAGATCTCTTTTTGTCTGCTGCACTCATGAAGCATCCTTCTAGATGTCAACCATCAGTGATCATGTGCAACAGAGCAGATGGCAAATCCCCATGACAGAAGTGGCAGCCTCCTTGTCTGGGAGCCCTCAGTAAATCATTTCGGGAGCAGGGCATCTGAGGAAACTGGCAGACTCCACCCTGCCCAGGTCCTCTGTGAGATGGGTGGATGCAGAGGACCTTCTGGGTCAGTGGGGTTTTCCTACTGTAAGGCCTGACATGTCTGTATTATCTTCCTTTTCTTCCAGTGATTTTTAACAGGGATCAATAAACTTGGATGCCAGCCTGGTTATTTCTAAGTAATGGTAAGACTTTTGACAAGTCACTTAAATCCATGGATCTGAATAGCCACATCTCTGCTTTAACTGCTAAAAAGAAGCTCCACATTACCATTGCTAAGGCTGAGGATACCAGAATCTTAATTCTTTCACTTTCCTTGCTAAAGTCATCTTGGCTAAGAATTTTAACCTGTCTGGATGATTACAATGAACATACTTCTTTTTTCTCACCCTTTGGAAGTGAATGGACTTCAGAATTTGAGAACTTCTGTATGTAGAACACTCAATCATGAAAGATAATAAAACAGTTTAAAAGGGGACCTCTACTTGCAATGTATGCATTCTTTCAACTATCTGCATTGAATTTCTACTTCTCCAGTTGGACCATTCTAGCTTTTAGATCTGCACCTGTTGTTTATTATCCATGTCCTTAATCCCCTTTCACGCACCTTGGCTAAGGTTACTACTTCTAGAATTACCTACAGTTCAGGCTACAGAACTCAGGTTGAATAGAGATGAGATTCTATAATGAAAAATATTAAAGTCGGGGCACCTGGGTGGCTCAGTCTGTTAAGCATCCAACTCTTGGTTTCGGCTCAGGTCATGATCTCATGATTTGTGAGATTGAGCCCCACCCACCTCAGGCCCTACACGGATAACCCAGAGCCTGTTTGGGATTCTCTCTCACCCTCTCTCTCTGCCCATCCCCTGCTCATGTTTGCTTTCTTCTCTTTCTGTCTCTCAAAATAAATAAATAAACTTAAGAAAAAAACACACATTAAAGTCAACAAGATATTTAAAACTCAATTCTTCAACTGTTTTTTTTTTCCTATGTATTCAGTCCCCAAATATAAAATTCTTCCCTTAAATTCAGACAGTTCAGAAAGAGGACTACTGCTTTTTCACTTAAATACTAGGGTTTTGTTGTCAGCTCCCAAAAACAGAATACTTGAAAAATCTCAGTCTCATGTAGGACAAGATGAGGCTCAATCAGTAGACTAAGTTATATTCAATATTACACATGATTACAAGTTAATGGAAAATATCAACTTCATATTGTAGATCCCAGTTGTATTTTATAGTTGAATTATAATCTAAATGAAACTGTCTGAAGAGTTTCCATTAGTTATGCATAAAACGATGTAATGGCACCAAATCCAGTACCTACCATTGCCAGACAGAGTAATGCCAGTCTTGGAGTCCTCATTGTGAGGGAAGTAAGTGCTGCAGTCTGCACCCACCCAGTGTCTGTTACACACACACTTCAGCTCATTACTGCAAACCTGAAATCCAAAATCAATCAAGAGGAAACGTCAACTCTCTGATACAATGGCATGAAAACTAAAGAGTGATTTCTAATTGTTATATGCCTAGAATCTGATGGTACTGAAAAATTATCGGTACTTTCTTCTTCATACTAATTACCTTATTCCTCACTCAAGTACCCAAAATAATATTTTCTAGAGATCAGCAGTTAGACCCAAAGGGAATAATGAATTTTAACAGGGGAAATGAGTTTACAGTCCAAAAAGAAATCAATGAAATTACTGTTTTGAATTTCATTAACTTAAATTTTATAGGAGGGAGGTTTTTATTTTTTTATTTAAAAAAATTTTATAGGAGGGAGACTTATAAAACTAAGCAGAAATACAAGCATTTGCCAATTATCTAATACAAACGTTTCTTTCTTCCAAACATAAGGTCAGGAATTCTAGATGAAGAAGACATTGTTATCATTAGCATGAATGAACAAGAAATAATTTCAATGTTTTTGCCCTATCCCCCAAAAAGCATTTCCACTAACATTTTCTTACTTATTAAAGAAAGAAGACTTATTAGACTCATCTATAGGAGCAGAACTACTTACCACATGCCTTCTCTATTTTCATATGCTGTAAGAATTCCTATCCTTTGGCAAAAAGTTACTAGTAAGACCTCCCTAAGAAACTTCTTGGCACATTCCTGGAGATCTACGTGGAATGACCAGGATTAAAGGCTGACAATTTCAGGACAGGGATCCTTCACCTCAACTGGGTATTATGACCAGTTCAAGCAAAGAATCTGGTGAGGGTAGAAAGAAAATCATAGTACATGCCAAAAGAAAAAGAAGTGAAAATTATTTTATTAGTATAGGAATTCCTAACTGAAAATGACAAAACTATAGTCACTAATAGAGCATGTTTATCTAAGCTACAAATTTTGTTATCTAGGACTAACATTATCAGATAGATATATGACAGAAAGAATAAAATTTAGTATTTTATACAATGCCATTATTTCTATTCATTTGTTGATAAACACTTCCCTGAATTATTCAGTTTTTATTTCGAGGAGTTATCCTCAGCTGATACACACTCGGTGTGGCCACAACAGGTACTTATGATCTGTTCTAATTGCTTAGTGCCTGGACAATACGAATTGTTAAATACTGTGGCCAATGATCCTCCCTTTTACAACCTTTTTAAAAAACCCCATTACAGTTTATTAAAATTTGTCTCCCAGATCACTTGTAGAAAACTGGCCATTATACTTCTATTATATGAGATCACATTAACATGATAAGAAAGAAAAACAGAAGAATTGGGTTAGGAAAACTATACTTTTTCTTATTCCCAGGCTTGCACAGATTACGCAAGAGAAATATTCCAGTGACTATGACCAAATAACTGTTTACATGCCAGCTAGAAAAAGGGATAAGCATATTTTCCATTTTTACAAAATAAACAGATTAGGGTCATGTCTATTTCTGTGTTACAAAAGAACAGAGGAGTTTCCCTACGGCAAGGTACTGAATACTTACTCCATTTCCTGAACAAACAGTGCCTTCTTTATTGCTTAAGCAAGTACTAAAGTTGAAGGAAGCCACAGGAAGACACCTGTGTTCTAAGCACATCATTTGGGGACCACAAGGTGTCCCATCTTCCACATAGCCAAGATCTACATCTTCCTCAAGCTTCACATGCCCACCACTAAAACAAAGGAAGCAAAAAGAAAATAGGATTCTATTAAGTCACACTCATTTTGAGAATCTGCTTTAAAAAACTAAAAAGTGGGCAAGAAAGCATTGCCCACTTATTGTACAACTGCAATAAAATCGTACAGTGCTCTCTCCTCCACCATATATTCCTCCTTGGAAGAAACTACTTTCTACTCTATTTTCTACCCATTATCTAACAAAAAAAACAACAGCATGAGCATTTTCTTCCTTTAAATGAAGAAAGCAATTGAATCTTTTGATCTAATGCTTTTGAGATATTGACATATTTTAGAATTTGAACATAATTATTATAGCAAAGGTCTGAATTAAAATAGCTTTATCATTTTGCCTTGGATCATGTACAAGTCAAGTGAGGCATTAGTGCTAGGATTTGATTTGGTAGTTGTAATTGTAGGTTTCAAGATTTCAAACATGTTTCAAACAAGCATGAGAACTGGTCTGGGTTTTACATTTCCCAAGAAGGTTAATAATTTAAAAATTATATTAGAGAATGGCTAAAATATTTAACTTCACTGTTCAATAGAGCAAGCCTACATGTTCTATAGAAATTTAAAAAACCAGAATGAGGTAAAAATGTATATTCATAGTTGATTTACTCATATGGTGCCATGTCAATGCCAGCACATAAATCTCAATTCTTTTTATTTATTTTTATCAAAATGACACATGCATACAGTTTAAAGAGTCAATCAGATAAATCAGTTTTTTAAATGCAATAAAGTCATACAGTGCTCTCTCCTCCACCATATATTCCTCCTTGGAAGAAACTACTTTCTACTCTTAATTGATTCTTTTGTTATTTATCCACACATTTTTAAATAATGAGTGTTACTATTTTTTATTTTTCCATTTCAGATATTAGCAACCAACTTACCTCTATGGAACTTGAAGATTTATGTCTTTTTCCTATATCCCCATCATAAATTTTGTTTAATGAATAGTTAAATCAATAATAAAAAGGCACATTATTACGACTATGTAAATGTTATTCAGTTGAGTGATACAGTGTGCCATAATTAAGCCTTTTCTTTCCTGCACAACTTTTCATTTTCCCTCAAATTAGCAAGTCTCTTATTTGTTGTCTTTTTTGCCTACTTTTTAAGAATCTGTCACCAATGTAAAACTGATCAAACTCTGCTAACCCCAAATCCATACTCGAGATGTGTCTTGAGCATCAGTTCATCTTCCTGCAGAAATCTCTCCTGGAGTTTCCATCTGCAGTCTGCCCTGCTCCTGTCTGATCTAGTTGTCTACTGTACCTTGTGGAAAACTTGAACACTTGGATCTCCCCTCACCATTCACTGCAGGATTGCCCTGTCTTCATGGTGGATATTTTGTTTCCTACACACAGCCTTTCTCTTAGTTTACTCTTTGATTTTGGTGGAGTACAATTTCACCAATAGCTTCCTGAGAAATGGTACAGGGCAATAAATTCAGGGGCAACCTGAATATCGCAAAGTGTCTCTATTTTCTACTTTCACACTTGATTGATAAGGTACAGAAATAAGGTACAGAACTTATTTCAAAAATCATGTTCTCCATTGTCTTCTGATTCCCAGGGCTCCTGTTCATAAGATTCCAAGTCTGATCCTTTTTTTCCTCCTCTCTGGAAACATCTGGGATTCCTTTCTTTGTCCTAAGGTTGTGAAATTTCACAATGACATGTTTAAATGTGCCTCTAATTTCACTCAGTGTATTTGGCACTTGGTGAACCTGTCAATGTAGAAACTCAAGTCTATCCATTGTAGACAATCAAAGTCACTCATTGACAATTTCTTACCTGGTATTTTCTCTGTTCATTGTGTCTATTCTAACTTGGTGAGGTTTTCTCTATGGTTCCATTCCTTTGCTGCTTTTGCCCTACTTTCTGGGAGATAATTTCAACTACTGAGTTTAATTCCTACCTCCCTATTTTAAAATTTCCAACAGCATTTTATTTCTATGAATGCTCTTCATTTTTTAAAATTTTTTTCTATTTTGAGTAAGAGAGACAGCAAGCGAGCGGGGGAAAGGTACAGAGGGAGAAAGAGAGGGAATCTTAAGCAGGCTCCACATTCAGCATGGAGCCTGACGCAGGGCTCAGTCCCACATCTCTGGCATCAAGAGTCGGATGCTCAACCGACTGAGCCACCCAGGCACCCCTGCTCTTCATTAAATAGCACTTTATTCTGGTTTCATGATAGAAATATCTTATCTCTCATAAATATTGACAGGTGCCTTTTTTTCTGGCTCTTTTTAACTCTTTGTGTATGTGTGTTAGAGCCTTTATTCACATGTCTGATAAACTGCTCCTATTTGAGTTAGGAAATCAGATAAACTATAGGAGATTTTAGGGCTTTCTGGCTGAACATCAATGAGGCTAGACCACTTCCATACACCCTGATATCAATATTGCCGGCTATCCTTCAGTTTGGAAACCTGCTTTATTATCTGCAGAATGTAAATCTCAAATCTTTATTGGGAGGGTGAGCAATCCCCAGTTTAGGTGGGTCAGGCAGTAATCTGTTAGCAGACTTTCAACTATCTTCTTTATTTTAGCCCTTCCTTGCCCCAAATCCTTTACTCCCTCTTGCAGAAGTAGATGATGCTACCAATTTTTGAGCCTTTTGGGAACTAACTTTATATACTGGGCTAGCTCTCAGTTTTCCCCATTACTGACTTAGGAATTCAGCTTTCTTAGTTTTTTTTTTTTTTTTTTTTT